GTCGACAAATCCATCTTGAACCCATTTGTCTCAATGCTGTATTGTTTCATTTCATCTCAGTAAAAAACTTTACATTCCCCACGTTTGAGGCGGTTGAGGTTGGTTATTGTTTACCCATTGTTGTGCATGGTTATATCCTCTGTTAAAGAATCTCTTCACCTTGGTCCATATAGTGTCCTGCTTGGTTATATAGTCATTTGCTTTGTTATAATAGTTTCCTGCTTGTCTTCCTACATTGTCCATCCATCCTTGAACTTTTCCTCTTGTTTCAGGATTTGGAATAAGATTTGTTGCATCTCGTGCTACATCCCAACCTTTCTGTACAGTTTGTATAATAGGTTGTGCTTTCTCTTTAAGTATACCTAATGTACTCAAAATCTTCCTTCCAACTCCAAATACACCTCTGGCTATTGTTCCCACTGCGGGCAAAAATCTGGATGCAACTCCTGCTAATGCGCCAAATAAACCCATTTCTTATGAGTTAAAAAATGACGAATCCAAACAAGGACCCCTATGTTTCTAAAGCGACAAAGAAAGCACTCATGGTAAAAATCTTTAGTTCAACACCAAATGCTTGGTTTATGGATATCTTGGAAAACATTCCGAGAGTTAGAACAGATGGACCACCATACTGGCTAATATTTGTCGGTCAAAACACAAGATACTGTGAAGCCATACCATTATGGTCCAAAAATATTTTAGATGTGAAAACTGCTTTGACAATATTCGTTGACAAATACCATCCAACAAAACTGACATCTGACTGTGAAAGTTCTTTCAAATCAGATGATGTAAAAAACTATCTGCGTTCAAAAAATGTAAACCAATATTTCATTGTCGACCAAAACCATTCTGCTCTTGGTGTCATTGACGGTTGTATAAAAATGTTAAGAGACTTAAACCAACCACAAGGTGGTGAAGCAAATGAAATGTCATATGACGACAAATATAGACACTTCTCCATGGCAAAGATGAGACAAGTTTTAAAATATTTACAATAACCGTAAACAAAAAGGTTTGGGAAACCACTCCCCCGAAGAAATGAAAAACAACCCTGGCTTAGAGAAAGACTATATATTTAATAATTTAGTCAAAAGAGACAAACAAGAAAGAATGCCGGGCTTCAAACTTCAGAAAGGTGACAAAGTAAAAATAGAAATACCTAAACGCGACCCATATGAAAATACTATTGACTATGACAACAATGGGAACCCGACAGGTACTCACATTCGTGTTCGTAAAAATAGAAGAAAGTATACAAGAGAATATTATGAAGTTTTAGGCAAACATGGCAAAATGTACACACTGCAAGCAGAAGATAAAACTACTATTGCCAGACCTCGTTTCAAACTTGTCAAAGTTCAAGGTGGTATACTTTCAAAGACAGTTCCTAACAAATATAAGACAACTCCTGACGAATATGCTAAAGAAGTTGAAAATGACGACTAAGCAATTCTATACCATGCGTAAACTGTCATGTAAGGTGGCATATATTCTTTACTTTGTCCCGTTGTTTGCGTATATCCTGAAACGTGATGTGTATGGTTTCCTCCTCCCTCAGTGTTACTCCAGTAACAATTTATAGCAAACTTAACGTTGTCTTTAACATCATATCCTTTACCTTTTGTCATTGCTGACCAATCCCAATATCTATGCTTATGCCAACCTGCTTGAGATGTACTTAAATCTATGTAGTGACTGTGTGCAGGTAAATTTTCACCTGAAATCGTTTTACTTCCACCTGTTTCCTTTGAAGAGTTTGCACAATACAAAAACCTGTCGACTATTTGAGTCCAAGTTCCAAAACCTAAAACTGTTGCTGGATTTGTTGAATTCATTGACGTATAAATAGAGCCTGCAGGATATAATGTTTGAAGTATTTCAGTCTTTAATGTTTGAAGCTCTGTTTTGTCAGCCTTCTTATCTAACATTGCTGGTAGTTCATATGCTTCAAAGTTTCTGGCATGACTTTCAATGTTCCTGCAACTGTTATCTAAATTGTTTAGTGTATCTTTTACGCTTGTACTTGGATTCTCTAAAGGTGCACTTGAACCAAGGTCAAAGTTCAATATTATGTCGTCTGCTGTAAAAGTTGTAAAACTTGTATGTGTATGAGTCTTATTTGCTTTCTTCTCTAACTCATCGTTAACATAAGTTTTATCTGCTTTAAGGTCTAAACATCCTGAAACCCATCCTGTATCGGCTTTAGTTTTTAAAATCTTCGATGTCCATTCATGATACCATTCAACCCTTTCTTTAATTTCATTATCTTTTTCATCCACATATTCCTTATCCGCTTTCTTCTCTAACTTACTAGACACATATTCCTTATCCGCTTTCTTTTCAAGGCTAACGTTTAAGTCTGTTATTTCAGATATAGAATGTGTATGAGTCTTTTTAGAATATTCGTTTTCAGCTCTTGTCACTTCACTTGACATTTTATTGTCAACATATGTTTTGTCTGCTAGTTCAGGATGAGTATGTTCTTTTGTTGCATAAGCATTGTTAGCTCTTTCTTCTTCTTTTGCTATTGCATCGTCTACATATTCTTTGTCAGCTTTGTTGTCAACATCTGCTTTCAAAAGAAGTTCATTTATAGGTTTCTCGTTTAAAGTTCCTTTTGTTGGATTTATACAGACAGTATTGTTCTTCTTGTCTTGAAATAGAAACTCATCTGTCATTGGGTTTATTGTCAGTTTTAAGTTTCCTTCTTTCAATGACTCAGATATCTTAGAATAGTTTGAAAAGTTTGTTGTGTTCTTATTTAGAGCTTGCATAATGAGTTGTCGGTTGTGTTGTATTTCTCTCATAGACGCTGTTTCATTTGACATTTTTATTATAGATAAAATATGCTTCCAATAGAAAAAGAAAATTCTAGAGTTGCTACAACTAAACCATTAGATGAACTTTTTACTAATGTCGGTCAAAAGTTTGAGACAGATACCGTAAAGCATGAAGGCTATCGTTTTGACTACCCATTAAGATGGTTAAGAGACCCATCCGTCACAAAAGCTATTGGCTTTCGTAGAATGAAGTTCATTTCAGAAGCCATACATGGTTTCCCATTTACGGTCGGTTTTGAAGTTCGATACTATAACAAAGAAAAACGTATGTATGAGAAATTTGAACAGGGAAAACTTTTACAAGTTAGTTTGCTTATAAACTTAGAAACAACTCTTCAAGCTTTTCAAGAAAAAATAAACGATATCTATATTGAATATGCAAACCAGTATAACATTGACGAAGGAGAATACCATCTCGATATTATTTATGACAGGAAAAATGCAACTGTTAAAATCAATAAAATAGAAGACCTTGGAGAAAACGTTTATATTTCTACAAAATATAACAACTTGGCATGGTATAGATTTATGAGGATGTTAAATCAGCCTGCAGCATATCCAGTACACCCAGACTTTTATGAAGTCGAAAACCCTAATGGAACATATGAAAATGTTTTCGACCCAGCTGCTATTATTGTTCATGCTTCATTTTCTGGCGCCCAAAACTCTTTCTTATGCTTGGCAAATGACTTTTACGAAAAACCTACAAAGTTATACGAACCACCAAGTGGAAGTATTTCAGACTTTCAAGTATGGTTTACTACAGATGGAAGAAAAAGAATAATTCCATTATACCATGCGTTTTACTTAGAACTTATTTCATATACAACTACTATCGAACGGTAAAAATATAATTTTTTAATACGGTTGAGGTGTTGGATTTGGTTGCCAACTAGACTGTGGTGCAGGTTCAGCTGTTGTATAACAGGAGCTTGTTCTTCTGGTTCAGGTCTTTAGGTATAATACCAACGAACTGACCTACTCTTTTACCAATATTTTTGACTCCGTTCCAAATTCCTTTTCCGACAGATTTTATTCCATTCCATATACCTCTTCCAACATTTCGAAAAAGTTTCCAATACTACTAGAAGAAACCCATTTTACTATATGTAAAAATCTAATGTCCGCCTAGTCTCTTACGTTTCCTGTTGAGTTCCATAGCATTCTTTAACTGGAGCTCATACATTCTGTTTCTCCTCTGGTAGAAAACATATTCTGGTCAACTCCTGTGTTCGCGTCATCTGCATAAAGTTGTTTATATCCCACTTCAGGGTTTGTATAAAACTCTTTCCATCTCATATTTGCATACCATGGTGGCAAACCTAACGCAGCGTCATTTGACATGGCAGTTTGCATTTGTACATCTGTTGGCACTTGACCATAGTTTGCCATTGCAGTTTGTATTCTAACTTCATTTGGAATATTCTCTGGGTTTGGTTGTCCAGGTTGCTGTGCATTCGCTAAGTTCTGTGCGTCCATTTAATATTAGATAAAAATATCTCTTACGAGTACATATACTGAACATTTGCAGGCATTGGTTCATCTTCATATTCTCTGTACTTTTCTGCCACGTCAAATAAATAAATGACACAATGGAAAAAACCTAAAACAAGTAGTCCTATTTCAAACCACATTTACTTACTAATAAAATTTCTTTATTGTGACACTTTCTCCGGTTTATAGGACCTCTCTCATATTCTATCTTGTCATATCTAAACTCATAGTCATGTATGTCCTCTAACCATCTCATAACGGTTTCCAAACCACTTTTATCGGATGTAAAGTAAAAGCATGGATGGTTATGTATAACGTCTAAAGTTTCTAAAGAGTCTCTCAAAGTCCAGTCTACTTGGTATTGAAAATCCCATGTGTTATAGAACGGCGGGTCCACTATAAAGAAAACATTTTCCTTGTCTTTATATTTTTCATACAACTCTGTCCAATGACATCTCACAAACTCTATACCCTCAATATATTTTTCTATGTCCTCTTTGAAAACATTTGTATAGTTAAGATATAAAACGTTTGACATAAGTGTTTCAATGTCATGAACTCTTATAGAACCACTATATAATAGTCTAGCAGATATACTATCCCAGTCTATATATTCTGCTTTTTTCAAAACCTCTCTCACAATATTTTTGTTATCTAATGGTATACGTTCCATCTTACCTATAGGTATCTTTTCTTTTAACTCTTTCAATATATTGTTTGTATCTGGTATATGTTTGAGACGGTCCATATAGTTGTCGAAGTCATTGCATATAATCTTTGAGTCTGGGAATATTGTATGACATAAATGGGATATATAGAAACTTCCACCGAACAAATCTACAAATGTTAGACCATTCGGTAGTTTCTTAAGTTCTCTCAATATAATATCTTTACATCTACTCTTATTTCCAAAGAACGGTAACGGTGGTTTTGTAAAATTCATTTATATATAATAATAAAAATATTTTTACCTGAAAAGTGACAGAAAAGTGACAAAGCATGAAAACATATATAATTTGTGAAAAGCGTTAACGGCTGGTCGGCTGGGGTTCGGTCCTCCTCTTGGGTCTTGGGAAAAACATCTTCAGGGCTAGAGGGCGCAACGCGCCTGGAAGCCCTCCGAATAAAAACTTCATTTATACTAAACATCTTCAGGGCTAGAGGGCGCAACGCGCCTGGAAGCCCCACTACCTTTTTTTTTTGCTATGATATTTTTATGCCTTATTTCATTTCTCTTATATTTGATAATCTGGTAAAATATAGTTCAGACTATAATCATTTTAGATTATTGATATATTTATATAGGTTAGAATAAAATTAGTTTCATTTTCTACTTTTATTTTGAATTAATAATTTATAATATCAAATATTATGGCGTAACCTCTCCTTTAAAATATAGATATATATAGGCCTATAGAGTTTATTGGCACTCTCAAAACTCTAGAATTTTGAGTTTACTATACCCTTAATTTACATTTTTAGTAGTTTATATTAATGAAGTTTCATTTAATTCCTTCTGAGTTTATTATCATATCAGCATCTGGTGAAACGGTTCTTCATGCGACAGCACAAACTAGTGTTAAAGAATTAGCCGACCTTTTAATATAAATTGGGCATAAAGCGGTTTTTCATGTTGCAATGAGTTGTTACAATTAAGAAACTGCCAACCTATTAAGTTCATATTGCCCAAAACTCAATGAAACAAAATGAAGTTTGATGTCAGAAAAAATTGAGAGAATTACAGAAAGTGGAAAGAGCATCTAATAAAAAGGAGCCAGATTATCACAACGCCAACAATTTATAGTAAAGCTCTCTTGACTTCATTCATCATTTGAAAGAACACTTGAAAACTTCACTGTAAATGAAATACTAACAGATTCTTTGGCTCTTTTTGGACAAAAGCCACATAGACATTTGAGAAAATATACATTCTCTGACCCAGATATAGTCAAATAATAGATATTAATATAAACAATTTTATAACAATTTACATGATATAATAAGTTAAAACTAATTAGAAAAAACAAGTGATGATGGCATCTTTTTTCGCTTTGCAGATAAAACAGGAGCATTCACAGGGATTACCGCTCTTCTGGGTTTGAAAGAATTCGTGTGATCTTTTGGATTTAGTGGAGGAAGCTTTTCGTTGGACTTCACAGAGTATTTCCTGGCTAATTTGTATATGTTGAGCATTGATTGATGGAATTCTCTTATTTGATTCTCTCGACATATAATGTTGTACGTAATGGTATCTTGATCTGTTACACCATCCGATATTCCCTTTTGAATCTGCTCTAGGTCAAGGTTGTATGACTGCATTCGCTTAGAAATGTAGTCATAATTGTAATGAAACTCTGTAACGCTATTCAGGATAGAATTGTATCTCTCACTAATCCAAGGATGCTTCTCGATTTCGTTTAATGGTATCCTGTCTGCTTGATTTTTTTTCAAAATTCTCTTCAATAAATCGATGCACTCAGAAGAAAGTTGGGATGGATAATCAACTTCTTTGAACACAATCTTTTGGGCTAGCCTTGAGTAGTTTGTATCCTGGAAAGGTAAGTGCCCACATACCATTCCATATAAAAGGATTCCAAGAGACCATACATCTGAAGCGTACGTATACTTTTGGCCCATAATCATTTCAGGAGATGCATAAGATACTGATCCGCACTGTGTTTGCATAATATTATTGCTATCTGGGGAATTACTCAGGCCGAAGTCAATGATTCGAATATTTCTATTGGAATCAAATACAATGTTTTCGGCTTTGATGTCACGATGTGCAATTTTGCATTCATTGTGTAAATATTTCATAACAATTAGGAGTTGAGCAAAAATAATGCTAGCATCTTCCTCTCCTAGACTACCTCTTGATTTGATTGTCTCTAGAAGCGTCCCATTTTGGGCGAACTCCATAACAATGTAAACGTTTTTTTCAGTTTCCACAACTTCATAGAGATCACATACAAAAGGGTGCTTGAGCTTTTTCATAATGTCTATTTCTCTTCTCATAAGAAGCTGGTTTCTTTCATTATCAATACAGTTTAATTTAGAAATTACTTTAATGGCAACTTTTGTTCCTGTTTTGTTGTGTATTGCGAGGAAGACTTGTGCAAAAGTCCCGGAACCAATATTAAACTGAACCGAATAGTTCAGCATAATCTCTGGTTCCATTAATAAATTATCAGTGTTGAAAGTAAATAAAAAATAAAATTTATTCAATGTTTTGAGCACAACTCATAGAATAATTTCAAATTTTAAAACTCTAAAATATGTGATTATTCATGGTGAGCATTGTATGTCTTAAATAAATTTGACAACTTTATGTACATTTTTGAATGTCATTCACAAGAAATTCAACTTTATTTATGAATTTCAAAATTCATTCAAAAAGCTCCAACCAAATAGCGATGAATAATAGTATAAGTTTATTTAAAATATACGATTAAAAATTCTGAACGAGAATTTATACAGCTTCTTAATTCTATCGGCGTGAAGCACCGATAAATATCGTTAAAAAATACATTCATAGACAACAAAACTAAAGTACTCACAAAATCTAGATTGAGAGGCGGTCAATGACTTTTGAGGGGAAATTAACGCATGGAATTTAATATTATTTAGGTTGATATTCTTGCTTATTATTTCAGAAAAAAATCTTAAAAATTTCAATATGAAAATTGAAAGCAATTCAAAAAAATTGCTAACATGTAAATTTTAATATCCTATGCATAATTTCATATTTTGAACATTTTTTATTTTTGTTTAAAACTTAAAATTTTGCGAATTTAATATAATTTATAAAATATAATACATATATATATTTAAAATACACTAAATTTAATTGTTAATTGACGTTTTTGGGAATGAATTTTATCAAAACATGCCTGAATCCGAAAATTTGAAAGAACGAATTACACAATCATATATGTAGAATTCAAAATACAAACTTAAAGATTGTATACGTTTAAAATTATTCAGATTGTGTTTGATTTCCACTCATTCTGTTTCTTTTGAACTCTAACACTAACATTTCATGATGATTACATGATCCATTTATACATGATTGAATTGTTCCAGATTCTACCAGAAAATCAATCCAAATTTCTCAATGCATTCATGTTGATTGGACAAAATTTAAAATTTATCAGCCTGTTTCCAGAGAAACTCATATATTCCCTAATGAAATGTAATTTTTGCTACATTTATTTCAATCAAATTTCAAAAAATTGACTGCAGAGCTTGAAAAGGTGATGAATCATGTTGTTATTAGATGTACATATTAGATTTACTATTTCCAAAAAAATGCTCAAATTTGAATAGTTTTTAGAAAATTTGGAATTACACTCCTTACATTATATATAATTAAATGTTTAAATTTTATTTATTTTTCCCTTTTAATTTTATAACGTGCTCTATCAAAACTAACCTCTCAATTGAAGGCCACAAAATCTAAGTAGTGAGGGTACACAAATTTTGTATGGAGTACGGTTCAATTTTTGAGAGCCTCACTACTTAGATTTTGTGACTACCTTATACAATAATATTTACACTTAAATAACAAACAAAATTTAATCACAACATTTAGGCTAAGGATGTCAATTCGGAAAATGGTTTTCATTTTAGGAGAATATAATTTTCCTTTTCGAAAATTTAAAAAGTGAGACGCGCAGGATTCGAACTTTTTTAAAAGTTGATTTAAATATATTCTAGTGTGGATTCTAAGGATAATATCATATTTAAAATAAGAATATACTAGTTTAGGTGGTATAATTTTTTTCGATAAATTTGAGAGCATGTACGTTTAGGGCATCAAAAGTGTCAATTCGCTCAGCGAAAGCTGAGCTAGCTTCGTTCTCGAAAGAATAGGGAAGGAGTGAAAGAGAGTGATACAGATGTTGACACATTCATATCATTTCAACAAATTTTGATCAAATTGAAATTCAATGAAATTCAATTCACTTCATATCCTTCAGTCAGTACATTGACATCCTTCTACATCACAATGATAACTCGTGCATCAATAGTTCTACAACTAACTCAGAAAAAACAAGATTTTTACTTCCAGCTTACAGCTTTTAAAAAGTTTCGATGATAAAAATCACTCTACTCTTGTTTATCGATATGTTGTGATAGTAGGTAAACGTATTCTTATCGATATTAATAAAAATATTTTTACGAAAATCTGAACCAATTACAGAGTTATTCATAAAGTTTATGATAACTGTAATTACTTCATCTTTGTTTTATATTTGAATAAACAATTTAATTTAATTTGCATAATTTTTTTTAGTTGAAAGACAGGAAACTTAGTTGAGTTTGTATTATTTTTATCGTTCAATTCATTGTATATGTGAGTGATGCAGATATTTAAGATATTTAGAAAAAATTTATTAATTTGATTAACAAATTTTAATCAAAATAGCAAAAATCTATTTGATAGCTGTAAGCAAATAATAATTTCTATTTCAACCAAAATCACTTATTTTCATCTAAACGTATAAAATTGTCAATTTTATGAGAATAAATTTAAAATCTCATGAAATATAAAGGAGAGTAATATTTTTCAATTTTCTTTTTTTCTTTCTCTCAAATATTTTCTATTGGGAATTTTCTTGTTATCAAAAAATAATTTTAATATTTGTTTATTTCATTACATACAATAAAATTTTAAAAACTCTATTTCTTCACAAGAAAATTTTTTTCCTTCATATGAAGAAACATTTTGTTCTCCATTTGATGCTGAGTCTAAATCTCGATTTTTGAATTTTCTTCTTTCCAAATTTCTTTTTTCCAAATTAGAAGTTTAATTCAAATTTTCAATAGTTTATATATTTTCTCAAACCGTCTTAGATTTTCTTACTTTTTTGGCATTTTCTCTCAAAATATACAAAAATAGTAATACCAATACATGTGTCTAATATACTTTAAAACCATCGTGATAAAATTCAAAAACGAAGAGTTCTTCTCTCCAAATTTTTTTCAAAATCAAAAAAATGAGATAAAAAAATACGTTTGGAAAATTCATTTTTAGCATTTTAGGAATTTTCTCACTTTTCTTCCAAATTGACATCCTTATTTAGGCAAGTCTTTGAGAATTTTCTCAGCTACATATTTTGTTTCATCGCAGCTGAACATCCAATAAAAGAACCCCAAAATGCTCACATTAATTCCCATTTCTGTTAATTTCTTTGGTAAATCTTTCATATTCTTGTTATCATACATTTCTTCCAAAATCCTTCTCATCTTGAAAGCATCATATTTCTTTGTCATGATGTTTTCATTTAAATCAATTAGTTTATATTGGAAGAACTGAGTATTCTGGTTAACCAATCTTTCATCTTCTAAGAAAGCTCTCATGTCTTCATCGGACATGAATTTTTGATCTTCATTGTCAATGAACACAAAATTTCCTTCAATTTTTACATGATCAAACAACTTCATTTTTATGTCGTGATGAGAAATATTGAATTGATCCAAACTCATGTACAAACGACTTAAATCAGGGATTCTGAGTCTATTAATCCTGAATGCATCTTTAATCGTTGTTTCCAAGCTTTTATCAACAATCCAATTTCCATTTTGATAAGAAATTTGATCAATTTTAAGTGACTTTTTGATTTCATCAGCAATTTCATTTTTAAAATGTTCCTGAACTTGAATTGGCAAATCCGAAATCATGAACATGTATTCTTCATTCATTCCTCTAATGTTAGAACCAAAGGAGTTTGGATTATATGAAGGACCATTCATATTACGACCAGCTGTTATATCCATGGAATAAACAGGTAATCTATTTTCATTCTTTTTACCAATTTGAGGATAATTCTTTTTCGTCATCAAACAAAGATCAATTTGCTTTGAATTCAAGTTCCAATCATTGTTAACATCAAGAGCAACATAGATATCTTCAGTATCATCTATATACTTGATGTTTTTCGCTGATAAAGCGTATTTGTTCATTTCAGATTTCAAAACTTGGATTTCTATTGAATTTTTACCAAAAGAATAAATTTTCTTCATTCCATGACAAATACAATGCTTCATTTTTGTTTTGTTCGTCAACAAATCTTTGTAGAAACTTATATTCGTTGTACCACTTTGTATTTCAATTTTAACAGCTTTCATGACATTCGAGAAAAGAAAACTTTTTTTCTAAACCGGTTTTCATAAAAGACAAACTTTCAATGTGAATAAATTGTGGTTCTCCATTAACTGAGAAGAGATAAGTTTTTGGCTTTAATAGTTGGTCAACAAATTCGAAGAGGTCGATTTTGTTTTATGAAATCGATTCTTGTATCTGGGAAATGAACCTTTGTTTATTGATGCTTTTGACGTTTAATTGTTCTAAAAACAACCAAAAATCAGTTTGAAGATTTTGCAAATTTTCTTTGTCGAAAGGATAATTCAACTGAGTTCCTTTCAAGATAGATAGAGCGATCTTGATCAATGGAACAATTTCAGACTTTTTCTTTATTTGAGGCTTATTTTGAATTGCAAAATTTGAAGTTTTTTGCAATTCTGCTCGAATTTCTGGTTTAATAGGAATACTTCCATGCTTGTAAATAATCAATCTATTGCATTGTAAGAAATAAAACAAATAAGATAAAGAATAAATTTGAACATCATCGGGGAAGTTCACTTTGTCACTTTTTATGATTTCGTCCAAATTATTTGATAATTCTGGCGTAAGATGTGGGTATTTTCCACATTGAATCTGTTCTTTGAGTATGGAATCAATATATATTGCATGCCCCTTAAGAATATCTTCATTAAATAAATCAGGTTTTAATGTGAAATTTTCCAGATGAAAAATCCTGTTTTTATTGCGGATATTTTCCATATCTGGATAAATTTCAGTTAAAACAGGACATAAATAGCTCCATCTGGAAAAATCATTATCATAAATTACCCTCTTAACGTTTTTCATGAAGGATGGAAGGGGATTTAATATAACTTTACCATCTACACCAGTAAAATCAAGAAATACTATAAGATTTTCGTTTCCATTTTTTTTGAAATTAATTAACATTTCTTTTTCAAGAAATTCACTAATATTAGGGGTTTGATACATTCTGTACTTGCAAATTTTATGTTTGTAGTTCTCATTTTGATCAATTTTATCGAAAATTTTATTTGAAGCGCCCAAAAGCAATATATCGCCTTTTCTCTTAACACCGTCTACTCTCTCAATGAACTTATTAATCCATCCTTCAACGAATTCTTGTGGAGAAAAAGATCTTAGTTTTTTCCAAAAATCAAGGTCAGAATCTGCATTTGTGTTGTAAAATATAATGTAATTGAATGTACTAAGGATATCCTTTAACATATCCTTATATTTCTTATTAAAAAATGGATAATTTTGGAAAATAAAATAATCACTTTCTTTGTTGTAATTTTGAGTATCTGTTATAATTCCATCGATTTGAGTTTCAGATATGAGAATGAACTTGTAATTTTCTTCTTTTTTGCTTTCTTTGATACAATCTTGAATCAATTTTAAGTTATCTTCATGTTTTTTATATGAACTATATATATATGTAGGATGAATTTTGATTCTGAAACACGTAGTATTGATAGTTGTATGTCTAGATTGCAAAAGTAAATTGTTCGATTTGTTTCATTTGAAAGAAAATAATGAACAGGATATTGATCAACCAAACATTTATTTTCACCAGAATCCATGAGTGAGAGCAAAGCTACAAGCTCCTTTCTCTCTTTTTCGTTCATGAAATCTCTTCTAAATTTTATCTAGTCAAAAAAATAATTTATCACGACTCTGGTGAAAGTAACATATACATGATGAGTTTGGAAATATTTTATTATTATTTTTTTCTTTGGCAATGATTCTGTTGAATATCTTCAATATTTGATTTAGACAGAAGAGTTTTATACTTATTGTTCATATAAAAACAGTCAAAAAGCCTAAAGTACACCTTCAATTAATGGATTCAAGTTTAATTTTTTTTTTATTTCCAGAAATCATTGTATCTTTTGGGTAACATGTAAATTTTTAAAAGTTAGATTTATTCTATTATTAAAATACAAAATAAAACAATTTTGTCAAAAATTAATTTGCTCCTTCTTTAATTTTTTGTTTCTGTTCTTTGATGTAGTCATCAATGGAGTTAATTTTATTGGTTAGCTCATTAATAACTTTTTGTGCCTTTTCTTTTTTATCAATTTTGAGTTTTGTCTCCGAAATTTTCTTGGTCATTTCACGTATCAAGTCTCTGAACTTTGCAGATTTATCATCTGCTGTTTTGAGGCCTTTTTCGTAAACATTGATTTCTTTTTGCAAATCGCCAATAGATTTTTGCAATTGCTCACGTTTAGGAACATTAGTTTTGTTTTTGTCCTCATTTATCGCGTTCTGTTGCTTCCTCTTTGATAATAATTCTTCTTTTTGTTGTAATTGCTCTTTAAGGCCATTTAGTTCGGCTGCAATTGCTATTGGGTCCTTGGCCTCATCATATGTAAAGTTCTTGGCCAGCCAATCGTCGTAAATTTTTTGGATTTTATTTTCTTCTTCGACAACTCTTTGTTGGATCTGCAAATCCTCTGGTCTGCTGTAATACAAGTACTTTCTGGAGCGAACAGTAGCCAAAAGATCGCTGTTTGAGCTTTGTTTTGGTTTATATTTCGGAGTCAGCTTCGGAATCTCAAAATCTAGGTCCAAATTTGGTTCAGAATTATTTTCCAATGACTCTTTTCCAGGAAACGGAATATTTTTTAATGAATCTTTGATATTTTGTGGCAATAACTCGAAAATTTCGGAAATTTCGTTAAATTCTTCATTCTGCTTCTGAACTATTTCATCCTGCAACTTAATAATGTCCGAAATGTCTATAGAACTTGAAGATGAAATCGGAGTCGATTTTGCACGGACTTCGTTCTCTCTGAGCTGGTTTTGTATTGATACCATGTTCTCTATCATCAAGTTTTGCTGCGTGGAGACTTCTCTGAGGACTTCATCAGCAGATTCTGCCAAATCAAAAGTTTTCTCGACTTGTGAAGGCGGAATTACGTGTACTGATGTCTCCTTCTGCTCATTATTAGTATTGATGGGCTGAATTTTACCTTGGTGGAAGAAATTCGACAGATTTTTATTGGCAGATTTGATTGAGTCAACTAAATCAGTTAATTGCTCGTGGATTGCGTTCTCTGTCTCTATCTGAGATATATGGCCCATACTAATGACAGTTGCGAACCTGTTTATTGCATTTTGTGCATCTTTTATGGTATTTGCTGTATCATGAGTAAAAGATGGGGATTTTAAGGTAGGATTGCTGTAGTCAACATCAGGAACAGGTAGTTTTTCGATATCGTTCAAAAGAGATAAGACTTTTTCATGGGATTTTTGTGATCTATCTCGTAATTTATGAATATAAGTATCTACAAGGTAGTTTCGCTTTGAATCTGTATTAAACATGTTAATAACTTCAAATTCAACCCCATTATTGCTTTGATTCATTTGTGGAATGTCAATCTGAGAAATTATTGATTTTGAATAGTTGCTTTCAGGAATGTAATCGGGTATTTCACTTTGGCTTATAGCATCTTCGAATTTATTAGTGACTGAATATCTCAAATTCTGTGGAAAGTCTAAGTTTTCTGAAATTTTGTAATTTTCAGGATCTTCATCGACTAAACAAAATACGTTCTGCGTTAGTTTTCTATGTGTATCATAGAGTCGAAATAGTTTTGTCTTTTGAGCAAGTAAAAATGATTTCAAAATATTTCCGAAAACTAATGGAGTTGCACCTTCAACTCCATTTAAATATTTGAATGGATACTCTCCTTGATATGTTTCGTAGGTGCAATTATCCATAATAGATTTGAATAACTCTTCTTTTTTATCATCATTTTCTTTTTGAAGATTTTCGCACTCCTTTTGAAGGTTTTGAATAATAGACTCTGAGTTATCCATGAAACCTTTTTCATTTTGAATTTTCATTGAAATTTGCTCGATTTGATGATCCAAATCAGAGTTTTCTTTATATATTTCTTGAATTTGCTGCATTTTTAAGGCATACAAATACCCGCATTCCTTTGTTTCGTTCAGGGCTGTGTCAAGTAGAGAAGGCAAAAAATTTGGATCAACATACTTTGTCATTAGTGGAAGAACAAACAGGAGATTCTTTTTAATTACTCAATGCCGAGCTGATAATAATTTGATTTTCTTCCTAATGAGATGGAAATTAATTAATTTATTTTTAAATTACATGATCGATAGAGATTTAGTCAATTTTTAAGATCCACATCTAATAAATAGGCATTTAGCTGACAAATGATGAAAAATTTCCCATATTCCAATTTGAATTCAAAAAACATGATTTGGAACGTTATTCACTGATTTATACCCAAATAATGCGCAAATAAATAAAATAAGCTCTACCATTCGACGTAAATATTAGAAATGAACATTTTGCTATTGAAAAATTGAGTCAAAATTAGTAACAATGAGGGACAATCGAATAGATTCACTCAAAATAAAATGGTGAGGCTAAATAATATGGAAATATCGAATTATATTTCTTATTGTATTTTTTGAAATTCTCACTCAAGCGAAAACATGATTCGACCAGGAAAAATTACTTAAAATCAATTAGCTGCAGTAAATATTACATCAGTAAGAAATCACTTTGGACAAATTGAAAAAAAAATTGAAAAATGAGTACTGCGGAGAGTTATTGTAGGAATCGGTAATAAAATAGCATACATACATCATATTACTATTTTTTTAGAGCTGTAAACTGTAATAAAAATTTGAAAGTATATCATGATTGATTAATTTTGATAAATTGGATATGGATTACAAATTCTAATCCTAAAAAGGTAAATATAAACCTCACAAAAAATTCTAAGCCTTGAACATTTATATGATATTATGCATTATTTGCTCTTCTATAACAGATTTTATTTTTTCAATATGCAATTCAAATTTATGTAATCCGCAATAACTTTGTTCAGATTGCAAATGTTCTGTACAATAGCTATGTAAAGAAATGTAATTTCATAAACTTCTCAAAAATCAATTTAATTTTACATTTTACATTATCTCTCCTTCGAAAAATGCTATATATCATGCGTTTTAAAAATTCAACTATAAATCACCAACAAAAATTCCTGCTCAATTCCATTGAAATATTACATAAGACACACAGATATATTAACGATAATCTAAAAATTTTTATGCCGTGTTCTCAATAATTTGAAATTTTTTCATTCAAAATCTCGATTTCACAATCAAAAACGGTTTTTGTAAAACTACTAATTTTTTTTCTCAAAAATAAATGATACATGAGACAATCGACGATGCATACAAAATAGATATTCCTCCACATTTTGGCAAGTATAATTATGTTAGGAAGATTGGTGGAGGTGCATTTTCGTGCGTCATTCTTGTAGAAAATCCGAAAACAAATGAACAATTTGCTTGCAAAGTAGTAAGTTGAGAACTTCTTATGAACGAAAAAATATTTGACCGTTTTGAACAAGAACTTCGAATTTTACTGTCATTAGATCATCCGAATATTGTAAAAATTCACGATATAGTTTATCAGGAAAAATTAATCATTGTCGTCATGGAATATTGCTCACGAGGTGAACTCTTTTCATACCTTTTACAGAACGGTGTTCTAGCAGACTTTCAAATCAAACACATGCTGAGCCAACTTGTAAATGCATTAGTTTATTTACATGGCCGAAACATTGCTCACAGAGACATTAAACCAGAGAATATTTTGATAGACCAAGATCTTAACGTCAAACTAGCCGATTTCTGTCTTTGTCACTCAACGTCGAATCAACAAATGCTTTTAACACCATGTGGCTCCCCGTTCTATGCTCCTCCGGAGATTATTTCGAATATACCATACGATGGCAAGAAAGGAGATATGTGGTCGTTAGGCGTCGTCGTATTTACGATGGCAACCGGCGCGCTACCATGGACAGAAACAAACCAAACACAGCTTCTTCAACAGATCGTCAACGCGGATTATGTTGTCCCAGTGACTGTCTCTCCAAATATTAGACATCTCATACAGGCTTTGATGGATCCAAATCCAAGCAAGAGACCATCAGCAGAAGAAGTTAAAAGCCTTCCATGGATGCAGGAGAACTTCGATTATCCTTTTGGAAAACCAAAACTTTCTGCAAAGGTTTTAGAAAAATCTTTTAATTCAAGAGCTTCATACGGATATAATACTCCAGCATCGGCTACAGTTAACAAAAAATCTCTCATAGTCAGACCTACAGTTCCTGCAGGCAAAGCTAGAACAATATGTACTGTTGAACTTTCTCCAATGATAGATATTGTAAGAAAAGTACGAGTGCGGGACAAATTTGCCAAGCGTCACTTTTTCAATAACCTTAAATTACGCTTTCCCAATTTTTTAAAAATAACCTTAAATTATATTTGAAGAAATTATGTCTATGATATATGTTTTATGCTAGAATCTTGGAGTTTTCATGCACTACACAAGAGCTCCAAGGTTCCAAGAGTGAATGCTCAATAGCAATTATAGAGATGTACCTTTTCAAAATGACTTTTACTGATTAAATTTAATCAATAGAAGACATTTTGAAAAGGTACCTCTACAATTAGATATACAAGAGATTCAAAGCTTCATTTCAGATAGATTTGAAACTTTGAAACTCTTGGTAGATTTTGAGTGAATGCTGACAATCATCTTTGAGAAGGTTTTCTTTAAGAAAACCTTCTCAAAGAGGTTTCTCAGGAGTCCTGAGGCTCCCTTTCGTAATGATTGGGAGCCTTGGGGCTCCTGAGACGAAGAATGGCTTCGCCGAATCTTTGATCAGCAGAGGCCAAATGAAAAGGCCTCTGCTGATGGATTCTCAGGAGCCCTGAGGCTCCCTTTCGTAATGATTGGGAGCCTTGGGGCTCCTGCAGCAGAGTATCGCTCCGCTCCATTAATTTTTTTTAAAAAAAGTGCCGTGTGGCAAATTTGTCCTGTTCCCGAAAAGTACCAATCGGAGCAGCCAGAGTTCGCCATGCTAAAGATGATTCAATGGCTGAAGGTGCAAAGATACCATTTTTCTAAGTTAAAATTGTATTGTATTTATTGTTATAATCGGCGTGATTTTTATTTTCTTAAATAATATATATTCGTATGTTATTGTGAAAAATTATACTATTCATGTTTTTTACATTTTTTTCACCCTTCAAATTTGGTATTTTACATTTTTACGGGCGAGGAGACAACTAATTATGTTTTAAATAGTTTCTTTTAACATATCGTTTTTAATAAAGATATATTTTAATTTTAATTTTTGAAATATAAATTTTGAATAGGAAATAATCGTAATTTCTACAATTTTCGATCAAAAATTTATGACTAAAAATATTTATTTTCCAGAGTTCTTAACAGAATTTCACCATAAAACAAGAATATTTCTTTGCTTTGGATTCATATACAAATTCTGCATATAGAAAACATAGATTTGAAATTATGTTAACAAGTTGAAAATTGACCTCTAGTTATGATCACAAGGTCAAGTAGTAATAGACAACTATTTTCAATAGGTGAAACTCAGAAAAAAACAAGTAATATTTGGAAGAACTGCCCTTCATAGTGCAGCAGAATATTGTCAAGATTCACTTGATGAGGTTACATTTCCAGATCTTTTCGATTTAACTGACTCAGTAATTGATTCCTTTAAAGATAGTTGTTGAATAGAAATTATCCTCTTGAAAATTGTCACAAATCTTTTGAATTTTATCCATAATCAACTCCATTAACTCCTTTTTCATGAATAAGAATTCCATGTTAGTTATGGAATTGTATTTGAAATACTATCTACAACAATAGAATCAACTTCATTATTCAATTTTATGATCTATTTAACCAACATAACATGCTTCTTTTTATCATAATTGAGTAGAGAAAAGTTTCTCGATCTATAGGACTAAAGTATACTCAAAACTGATAATAGAACAAAATAGAGAATGCTTACTATCGAGTTTGTTCCAAAAGGTCGGATTTGAAGACCCATGTTATATTTTGTCTTACTTTTATTGGTGCTTCGCACCGATAGAATTGATTGTCAATTTTATTTTGCCATCAATTTTTTTCATTTTTTTAATGAATCCAATCGAAATTAATGCTGAAGGCAATTTTGAACACGATGGATTATTCGAAATAATGAATACATTTAATTCGCTAACCAAATTCATTACGCAGGGGTCTCCATTAGAATACCCAGTACTTTATGCTCATGCGTTGCAACAAAAGTATAAAGTTTTTAATGAATACGAACATGAAATTGAAGAGTTTTTCATTAAGGTTAGAATAAGTATTTTATGTTGCAAACATCCAAATTCAATTGCATTATATTCATTAAGATTTAATTATTTTTTAGATCTGTTCATTGATAATCTTAGCAAAGATAATGCTGATTTTTTTGAGGAGAAACTTCCCTCTCTTTACATTTTAGAACACGCTCCTACTGAAGATATGCCTCCAATTGAAACAGATGAAATAATACCAGCAGATATAACTCTTAATACACTTACAATTAGTCAAGTTGGCGCTTTTACCCTCTCACAAGATCAAAATTTGATTCCAAGTTTCACAACATTTAGCGGTACAGCAAGATCGTCAACTAGGCAGGATAACATGACAACAAACAGTAGACAAGATGCAGGTAATACAAATTCGAAGCAAGTTTTCGTCAATAAATAGTAATAGCTGCTTGAATTTTAATACATTTCAGTACCTTCTTTGTTTACAGAACAGCAAACTATGCATATTTATATTAACAAAAGTTTTGGAAATTTAATTTCGTAACTTTTTTTCTCCTCTCGATTATTCATATTAAAAACAAACTATTATTTTTATATACACCATAATTTTTCATTATTTTTTTAAAGTTCTAATGTCACTTTTTATTAAAAATGAGTTCTCAACTAAATACAGTTCATCTTGAGCAAATAATCAGCTATCTTCAATTTGCAGATAAAATGCGTAAACACATTTTATCAGAAGTTAAAGAAGAAATCGCAGATCACGTTGATTCAAGAGTTGATGATAGTGAAACATATACTGGCTCAGAAATCTGCGATGCTCTAGAAGATTTACCAGATCTCTTAGATACAATGCTAGATCGTGAACTTGAACATCAAAGAGATGTCTCTGTTTTCCTGATCCAAAAAATTTTCGAACAGTATCGCCAATTGGATATGGAAATATCATTAAAGGTCCCAATGCTTGAAAACGAGAAAGATATTAAGAGTTCTCATGCACTTTGTGAAGATTTGACAACAAAACCAGCAGAAACACTTAAATCAGCTCCATTGCCACCAAAAGATGCCAAGAGAGTGGGAGAGAAGCTTAAAGAAATGAAATCGCAATCAAAATCAAAAGATCCAAAATCAATTTTAGAAGAAAACCTCAGACTTAAAAAACAAATACAAGATGAAATGAATGCATTCCCTCAATACAAGAAGCTCCAAGAAATGATTCACGAGCGCGAAATCGAATTAAATGGCTTGAAAGCTTGTTTGTAATAAATAATTTTACTTGTTTTTGAAATCTTACAGTTTTAAAATACTTTACAATGCCATAGAATTAACAAAACAATTTAATATGAGTGAGATATTTCAAGATTTCTCTTTCAATCATTTGGACTGATTGGAAATAAATCAATTGTTCGAGTATATCAAAGCAAAGTCAATAAATTTATTTAATAACTTTTTTTTAAATTTCGATTTCAAATTAAAAAAATTAGATTAATTTGGCTACCTATATAATATTTTTTACTCAAGAAGATATTAGTTTTATTAAAAAAATCATAAAATATATATATAAATTGGTCGAAACAAAATTAAATTATTTGATCTCTTCAGTACGTTTCATACGACGTGTATGGAATGTAATAGCATCTATAAGGCGGCAGAGGCCAAGAACTCCGCCCAAAACTGTAAGAATACGAGTAAGAAGGTGAAAAACTGGTTCAGAATCTGTATATGTAACTGCTGAGATTGGGGAAACATCGTATTTGAAGAACAATCCACTTGCGAAGCTCTTTGGATTGTACATTTGGTATTTCGATGCTGAGTAGTTTCCTTCGAGAATATCTGCTGTATAAACAACGCGCCATGCACCATTTTCTGTTTGGACGTTATTGAGGTTGTTAAGAGGATAATCTCCTTCTTTCTCCGAGAAACTTAAATAATGAATTGTATGAGTTAAATTGAGGCTTGCAAATTCTTTGGTGAAGAGAGAAAGGTCATGGACATGCCAACCTTCGCTATTCCAGCTATATCCTGGAGCAATGTGCATTTCAGAAGCAACGCGAAGGGCTTTGAAAGAAGCATCGACTTTGCAACCCTCGCCTTCCATCTTGGCAACCTTTTCGGCAACTGGCTTGCATTGCTCGATCTCTGTAAGAACAGGCGGCTTAAATGCAGCATCTCTGTAAGCATCGAAGACTTCTTGGCATGATCTGCAGCATATTCTCTTTGGATCTTTTGCGTTGTAGCAGGAGCCACATTTTTCTTGAACAGTTGTATTAACTAATGTGGATAAATCGAGAGCTTCTATTGGTTTTCCTTGGGAATCAAGTCTCATGAATTTACTGTTAATGTTTTCTAATGGCATGGCTAACTGCGTGACTGAATCTATAACATCTAAGTGAATAAGAAAACATGGTGCTTTTGGAAAAGTAACAGAAACTTTAACATCAAGACGTGGCTGTGAATTTTGATCAATTGTAACACCATCTGGACCTGTTGGTCTTCTGGTATCGACAAATAAGAATTGTCTTGTCGGAGCATTAAGATATGCTGCAACTTCATAAAAACAAAGAACAATTGCAGCAAAGACAGAAATTAGAGACAAAATACCACCTGATATTGTGCCAATGCGGTATTCATTTGCGAGCTTTGGGAAGACATCGAATTTCCGAATATCCATTCACACAAATTTACAAAAAGCGGTTTTTTATTCCAGAATTATTTTTTTTAGGATTTTTTTCCCCTTTATTAGATTATTTATTTTTACTCATTGCATACATACATACATACTTTTTGATGTAAATTTATGCTCCAAAATTTCAAGTATCTTTAGATCAATATGCGATCTTTTACAGCATCAGTTATAGATGCAATTCTCAATATTATATTAGGAAAAATGTCCTTTATGATTCAAATTATTAATCCAAAGAAATACATCTCAAGAATAGGGATTTGATCAGAATTCACTATTTTAGCTAAATTTTAGGATTGAAAAAAATTCAGACCCAATAAAAGGTATATGATTACTCAATTTCAAAGAAAAGAATATCGAAGTTGTAAAAATTTCACAAAATTATTTTCATTTGTAGTCTAGAAAATATGTTTTATTCATGAAATTGACTATGAGTATAGACCAATCAAGAGAATAGAGAGAAAACTATAATCAGATTCATAAACAATAGGATCATTGACATTTTCAGTTAAAGCATCAAGTGGATTAATTATGTGCTCAATAGCGATGTATTGAAGAACATCAATTGTTGTTTGATCGGTAAGTTCTGTTATGTTTTTATAGTGCACGTAAACTGACTTTTCGCCAAAAAAATCTTTAGACGAGTTTGTTAAAACTGTTTGAATGGAAAAATTTAGTATATTGTCCGAAAATGGATTTGAGTAAAAAGAAATCGTATTAGTATTGCTTTGGAACGTAATAATTTTTAATTTTGGACAAGAAGAAAATGCAGATTCTCCAATAGTTGTTATATTTCCTGGAAATGAGATCGTTGTTAAACTCGCACATTCAGAAAATGCCTCATGTTCAATAGATGCTAAACTTCCTGGAAATGAGATCGTTGTTAAACCAGTACATTTACGAAATGCCTTATGTTCAATAGATGTTAAACTTCCTGGAAATGGGATACTTGTTAAACCAGTACATTCAGAAAATGCACTATATTCAATAGATTTCAAACCATCTGGCATTATGATAGTTGCTAAGTTTGTGCAATATTGAAATAGTCCAGAACCAATAACTGTTACACTCTCTGGTAATATAATACTTTTTAAGCTTTTGCATGACAAAAATGTGTATCTTCCAAGATATGTTAAATTTCTTGGGAAAATAATATTTTGTAAGTTTGTGCAACATGCAAATACAGACGTTCCAATAAATTTTAAACTTTCTGGCAATACGATAGATACTAATTTCTCGCATTTATAAAATGTTGCTTCAGGCAATAATGTTAAGTTTCCTTGAATTTCAAAACTTATCAAGTTTGCACATTGATAAAACGCATACAATCCAATAGATATGTTACCACCCGTGATTGTGACACTTGATAAGTTTGTACAAGATCTAAATGCAGCTTCTCCAATAGATATGTTATCACCTATTATTGTGATATTTGATAAGATTGTACAAGATTCAAATGATTGTGATCCAATAGAAATGTTATCACCTGTGATTGATATACTCTCTAAGTTTATGCATGCATAAAATGCAGAATCTGAAATAGTAGTTGAACAATCTATGTTTGAGATACTTGTTAGGTTTGTGCAGTTAAAAAATGCATCATATCCAATATATTTTAAACCTCCTTTGAATCTGACATTTGTTAATGATTTACAGTTATAAAATGCTTGCTGACCAATATAACTAACATTTCCAAGGATTGTAACGTTTGTTAATAATTTACTATTAGAAAATCCATCTTCTTCAATAACATTTACATTTCCAAAGATTATGATATTTGTTAATGAATCACATCTCGAAAAAAACGTTTTACTAATATATGATATATTTCCTAGAATTGTGATATTAATTAACGATTTACAGTTAGAATATACTCCATTTCCAATTCTGATTTTTCCTGGTATCGTGATGCTTGTGAATCCACAACCAGAAAAAGCATATTCTTTAATCTCTACTAAACTTTCTGGAAAGCTTATTGATTGTAAACTAGAATCAACACCAAAACAACTATTACCTATACTTGAAATATTGTTTGGAAGTATAACTGTTTTTAAATTAATGCAATTATAAAATAGTGACGAATTAAGAAAAGCTAGTTTATTACAATTACTCAGATTTGCGAGTTCAATTTCAAGGCTGTAAAAGCTATTACTATCAATACTGATAATTTCACTGTCATCTTGGAAAGTAATTGATGTGATTGTACCTATACATTCAAAGAAACTCCACGGTCCATCTGCTATTTCTTTAACAGTTTTAGGAATAACAACGTCACCTTCTGATCCTATACAATTAACAATAACTTCATCATTACTTCCAGGACGATATTGAAATTTACTGATATTACGTTGTGAAAGTAGAAAACAAATCAGCATTCATGTATTCAAAAACATTAAATTAAAAGTATAAATTAATCAATTTGGATTTTTTTAACTTTTTTCCGATTTTGAATGTACATTTGTATATAATGCTTTTAAAACTCGAAAATGCAAAAAATTGTGTCTGAGAATAAAAAATTTTGAATAATGTACGAATGAAGATGAACAATTGTATTAAATTACAATAATTTTAGCGCACTTTATTGTCATTTAGTACTCAATGTTGAATTTTCGCGTTTGATTTCTGTTTAATAAAATGAAATTTGTAACTGAAAATGTGTTTTGAAACTGAATTTTTTTAATGAACTATAAAAATACATTTTACATCACATGCTGCCAATTATAAATGACTCAGGATGAGTCCTTTCAGCTAAAATGGTTAATCAAATTTTTAACAAAAAAAAAACGTTTTTTTACCTGTCGGGTTTTGAGGGCAAAAATTTTGGTCAAATTTGTTAGCTCCCTAAATTTGTGATAGAAGAAAAATATATGCATATTAAAAATTAAATATTAAAATGAAACAATTTATTTCTAAGTCCAAGTTGGAAAAATGATATATACACTGTATCATTCAAGATGACAATTATATAACTTGATAATGGTATACATAAATCTATAATTGCCCAAAGATAATCAACTAACAAACAATCATGAAATGATTCGTTCTTATGGACTGTTCGTATAAATATTCAAAGAAGAATAAAAATATTTTATTAACAGAAGAAGTAATTATCATATCTCATTTCTAATAAATCTGGAAACAAAATCTTCACATATTTGATCTCTTGACTCAGGATTACGCATAGATGAATCCTTAGCAGCAAAGTATTCGCGGATTGCAACGTTGAATGTTTTCATTTCAGTATTTGTAGACAATCGATCTTTGACTGCCTTGATGTATTCATCCTTCTTGTTTAATGGTGCTGGAAATGAAAAAAGAAGTAAGTTCATGGGGCATCGTGAATTCAATCGCATTATACTCGCAAATCGAGATTCATTCGATATGTCTTTCTGATTTAGATTTATGATTTCTTCATCAAAGTTCTTTTGAGGAATTTCTGACGCCTTAATTGAAGCGTCCAATTTTGATTCCCACCTTAAGACTTCTGGCATTGCTCTTTCAACAGATTCAGCTGCTGCTTCAACAATCTCTTCACATGTGGCTTCTTTGTCTTCAACAACTCCATATTGAAACTCATTTTCTTCTTTAATTTCAGTAGGAGTTTGGTTTTCTTCTTCTGACTTAAATGAAGAAATTGCTTCGCGGGCAGCTTCTTCTGCTTCAGATTTTAATCTTTCATCTTCTTGCAAAACGCGAGTACTGAATAATTTCAGAGATCTAATTTGGAAAACTTTTGGTTCTGGCTTTGGAGGCTGTATAATTTCTTCTTCTTGCAATAATTCATCCTCGCCAATGATATCTTCATCCTGATCATCATCTTCGCTTTCTGGCTCGACAATCTTTTTCTTTGTAGATGATTTCTTCTTTGTAACTTGTTTCTTTGGCTTTTGAGGAGCTGGTTCTCCTATTGTACAATCTTCATGTAATTCACCTGTTTCAAGAAGTCTGTGATAGAAATTCCTGCACTGGTAACCGACACGACCGGGTATATGCATAGCAAATAATCCCCATTTGCCTTGTGTAGGAGGATGTAACTTGATTGCCTTCATAAAGAGCTCCTTTTCTTCATCATCCCATGCACCGGTCCTTTTTACAACACCAGGATCAACATGACGATAGTAGTAGGCATTGGGATTTGTCTTTCTGGCTTCCCATGATTGTTTTTTAGCTGGTGACCAGAGTGCAATCTCTTCTTCATTCTCTAAATGTCCCTTCTTAGATTTTTGCTCATTCTTTTGCTTCTTGGTAGCTTTTTTCTTTGAAGCTTGGAACTCTTCGTCAACAAATTTTTCGACTTGAATGCTCCATTCTTTTTGTTCGGCAGATGGATGGCTGCCTACTGGAGAGGAATAAACATCTGTTATAAATTCAGTCTCACTGAATGTATCCATCAAGAATTTTATGATATTCGCGCCATTTCGCGCGCGCGCGCAGAAATTTGTCAAATTTTTTTCTCAATTTGAATTTCGCTCTCAATTTTTCCCGCATTTGGCGGGAGCTATTATGTTCTTCTGTTTATTTTTGCAGAGATGAAAGAAGAAGGCTCTATAATGTAATATACCGTGTTTATGAACAGATTCATTTTAGTGTAATGATTTTTTAAGAATTGCACTGAAATCAAGTCGCCAGCTCTTGTACCAAACTTATTTAGAACATATAGAAATTAAATCAGTGGTTGAATTTGATCCTCACATAAGATTTAGTAGGGAATCTTCAATATTATGACTATGATTGAGTTATGAGTTTGTCCATATGAGTTTATTATCTACCCATCAATACTTATAGCCCAATCTTGATATAATACTCTATATTAAATTTAATAAAATTTTTTCTAAATTAAGCTGAATTTTTGCATATTTGAAGAGATTTACCAGATTTTGGTGATATATGTTAGATTCGTATTATATATGGCATTTTCCTAAACAAATACTGAGTGTGATCAAAGAATCATGGAAAAATTGTTATTATTTAACGAATATACTCAACAGAGCCTTTGTATATCACTAAAACTCCATTGATGCAATAATAATATGACTATTCATATTCAAATCATGTTGATAACATCGATAATTTTTTTTATGCATTGTTTAAAGAAAGACATCTGAAAACAGCTTTGTATCACTATGTATGAACAATTGAAAGATGGGCATGCACGTAAAAATGCTAGTTTACATCTTTTGATTCAGAACCACAATAATTTGGAAAATTTTCTTGTTATACCGAAGGACATATTATATCATACGGATAGTAATGCAATATTATAAAGCAATTGATTGAGTTCTGCAATTTTTAAAAATTTAGTTAAAATTCATGATTTAGATTCATGTTATTTTGACAATCATCTGATAAACTATTGGAATAATATAAATCAGAGAATTCCGGTAAAAGATTTAGTTCCATATGTCGAGTTTACGATTGTTGAAAAATTCCGGTAGATTTTACAAAAGTTTACGATTTAAAAATTATTTTATTATTGATGATGACTATCTTTGTAACCAATTTATCTTTTTTCAAAATCCTACCGAAAAATTCAATGAGATTGAATTCAATTTTTTTTTTCAACATTCTCATGCTCTCTTTATTGTTTAGTGTTTCTCTTTCAGCGAAATGGGATCGCACAGTCTTTCAAGATGGCACATGCCCATCAACTTCAACGTTTGAGATCAACGACGTTTATTTTGAAAATTTAGATGCGGAATCTCAGAACGGTGGTGCTATTACAATTAGAGGCTGCACGGGTACACTTAAAATGAATGTAGTTACCTTTATTCATTGCATTTCTCGATCAACAGGCGGTGCAATTTTCATAGAATCAAATCCATATAATGTCGATGCCACAAAAGTTTGCGTTTCAAAGTGCTCATCCACTCAAAATTGCCAGTACGCTCAGTTTACTTCTTCCCAAGGCACATTTACTCATACATATTTCAATATCTTCTTGTTCGAATGATCAAGGAGCAACAGTTTTCCAAACAAAATCGTATCGCACGCCATCAATCTCCAATTGGAATATTTCTCAGTCTCGTACAATGAAACAATTCTCTTATATGATGGAGAATTCTCCAACGATCAGGTATCTCAACTTCCACGCATGCCCATGCTATAATGGATTCACAATTGGTGCTTCCCTCCAACTCAGTTATGCCAAGTTTGTTGATAACAACATTTATAATCGCTACTTCATGTATTTGTCTGGAATATCCACATTTCAATATTGTTTCTTCAAGAACAACAACGGATTCATCAAACACTCACAATCTCTTTCAATAACAGATTGCTATTTTGATAATTTCCAAGTTGATGGACCAGGACTCAGTTTTACACGAGTTCAGACATCAGGTGAAGTATTTCCAACAAACTTTGAAGTCTATTCCAACGGAAATTGTATTGCTGTTCCTTATGTCGGCGAACAACCACCAGCTCCAGAGATTCCACCAGCAACACCACCTCCAACACGTTCTCCAGCACCAACACAGTGGCCAATGCCAACAGCTACTCCAGTTCCACCTGCTTCTACAACACCCGATAAAAATTTCGAGTACCAGATATACAGTGAACGACAGAATGTCACAGAACAGTCAAGAATAATTGTTCACGACTGTGTATTCAATAACATTAAACTTGGATTGAGTATTACCGGAAATAATCTTTACGTAAGACTTGAAATGTGGGAAACTACTTTCTATAAATGCTCTAACCAATACGGTAACGATCAAAGTCCTGCTGGATTTTTGTTCTATCCACAATTTAGTGGTTCAAATGAATTTGTTTCATGTCTTGTCAACAGAACATGTGGATATGAATTAACTGCGCATCACTCAATATTTGCATATGTTAAAGTAACACCAACATCGTATAACCATGCAAACTTAACTTCGATTACAAGATGTGCACCAGATCCAGGAGGAAGTAATGCTGAAGGTAGATACAACACTGTTGATTTGAGATCAGGAAAACATGTTTTCAACAGCTGGAATTCATCAAATTGTCAGGTAACAGATACAGCTGGTATTTTCACTGTTGGTGATGGCCAAGGCGGAACAAAATCACAAATCCTTTATGCCACATTCTATAATAACTATGCTACAGGTTCAATGGTTTTGAACTGTTTAAACACAGATATTGTTTATTCCCATTTGAATATAATCAAAGATAGATCAGATAAAGCTGCACTTTTCCTTGCTGTAAGTTCTACTTTCTTACTGGAATCAAGTATTGTATTAGATTGCCAAATGAAGGACAATAAAATGATGTCATTCCAATCACTTATTAATCCATCTTCATCGTCTTCATCCACAGCTACAATTAAGTCATGCTTCCTCCAGTCAAATATTGATACATCTGGATGTACTGTTATAGATACAGTTCGTCAATCAACAGAAACATATAAACTCACTCACTTCGCTAACTTCATTTGTGAAGTCGAAGTCTCTGCAAAACCATTGGCTCCTCAACCAACATTCATGACAAGATGCATGAGATTTGATGTTTCTGAAGCGAACAAGAAGTTCTTAAAGATGAAGAAGACTAAGGTTGGAATGGCTTTCGCAGAAGCTACATTATCAGTGTAAGTTAATTTTTTTAGTAAACTATTTATGTATTTATGTAATTTATGTATTTAGTAATTTCTGACAAAAAACATGAATTTGTCAAATTTTTAGTGTCAGAAAATGACCAATTTTTGACAAACAGAGTCTCAGAAAGTGGTTATTTTTTGCATATTTTTTGTTCACTTTATATATAGACTGTTTGTGGAGCTTGCTTCTTGTAATCTGAAGAGTATAACAAATCCATTTATACATGGACCAAGGAATATAAAATACACATACACGTTCTATAATATCATGATAGAATCTGGCAACATTTATAGCCCATAAAGTTTTTCACAAATGAATGTTACCATTGCATACCATTGTTACATGTTGAGGTGCCAATCTGACTGAATGTAATAATTAGTGATGAATAACTAAATATTTGTATTTGTTGTGATTTCCAACTTGAACACGCTTTAACTAATTGTAATACAATTTGTGCATTAGGAACTCGGGATGTAACTCATGAATTTGAATCAATTTTCAAAAATTTTTGAATATAAAGTTCGAAATCCAAAAGGATAACTTAGCTTATGTACAAAACATTCATTTTTACATTGCAGATCTTATTCGGTAAAACAAAATATTTTTATAAATTATATTTTGTCACTTTTTTGTGTAAATGAACTCTGTTGAAGAAATTGACGAACTCCGCCGGATTGATATTCTTACGGCCAAACGAGATTCCTTAGACAAGTCCATCAATGAAGCAAATCATGCTCTTTCTCTCTTAGAAACAATGCAAGAAAATCTGTCAAGCCAACATTCAGCTCTAAACCTAGAGATTGATGAGCTCGAAATAACAAATCAGAAATATCTTGATAGCACAAATAAAGTTCCACATTATAAAGATTCACATAAAACATTGGAATTTTTTGATCAGCTAAAAATCCTTGAAGCTGAGACCGAATATATCGATGCTACATTAGAAGCACGCCGAAAGAACATAAATGATCTTAAAAGTCATCTCTCAGCCTCTAACTCTCAATTAAAGAGACTTGAAACTCAAATCTCCGAACTCAATGACACACTTGAGAAAACCCAAAAGACAGAGCATGAGCGCGAATCTGCAATCAAGATTCTTAAGCAAAAAATATTCGATGCCGATGACGAATACAACCGTACGCAGGATATCTGCGAGAATCTCAAAGTTGAGATCCAAAACCAAGCCGACGAGATGAAAGAGATATCACCAGAGGCCATGGAATTACTAGTTCTTCAGAAAGATACTTTGATTGAAGAGGTCAGAAAAGGACAAGAAGAAGTAAACAAATTAGAAGCCAGAAGCAAGCAAAACCAATCGAAATACGCAGCCCAGGACAATTTCCAGCAGAAGAAATTGGACAAAGAGGCTTCTCCTTTGGTCTGGATGAGCGAAAGAAACTCTCTTCTCATCAAAATCAAGAAAGCCCAACAGGAACTCGCACAGCTTAACCAACGCGATAGATCGGCCAATAAAACAAGAGAAAAAACCTCACAATTGGCTGAAGAATCGCAATATTCAGAAGATGATGTAAAGAAAGCTCTTTATCTTGAACTCCAAGAGATCATGAACCAACAAGATACATTCATGGAAGATGCAATCGAAACAGAAACCAATTATCGTGAAGAATTAAAGAATCAGATCAAAGAAATCGACCAAACAGCTGATTCTATCAACTCTTTCAAGGACGGAGCTCTTGATTTGATGAAACAACATAATACTATTGCATCAGGAAAGGATAGACTTGAACTTCTCCGCCAAGAACTTCATGATCTCAAATCAAAGTTATGAAAATATCTTTTATTTTTTTGTATTCTTTCAATATTAAAATTAACTGTTTTAGATTCACTTGTATTTCTCTCATTCTTTATTATTTTTTAAATATTTTTATCAACTTGACATCTGAGACACAATTTCTCTTCCAAAAAGTAACTTGGAATCAAATTTTGATCTTGTGAGAGGGTAAAAGCTCCAACTTGACTAATTGTAAGAATCTATAGTTATATTTGTTGGTATTATTTCTTCTGTTTCAATTGGAGGCATATCTTCAGTAGGAGCGTGTTCTAAAATGTAAAGAGAGGGAAGTTTCTCCTCAAAAAAATCAGCATTATCTTCGCTAAGATTATCAATGAACAGATCTAAAAAATAATTAAATCTTAATGAATATAATGCAATTGAATTTGGATGTTTGCAACATAAAATACTTATTCTAACCTTAATGAAAAACTCTTCAATTTCCTGTTCGTATTCATTAAAATCTTCATACTTTTGTTGCAACGCATGAGCATAAAGTACTGGGTATTCTAATGGAGACCCCTGCATAATGAATTTGGTTAGCGAATTAAATGTATTCATTATGTCGAATGTGCCTTTAGTACTAACTTCGATTGGATTCATTAAAAAATAATGGAAAAAATTGATGGAAAAATAAATATTGGGGGAAAAAAAGTCAGAATAATATTTTAGAAACTACAAAAAGCTATCCCTTAAAAATTAAAAGTTTGTACTATAAAAAGAAATGATTTATTGCGAATATTACTCGTTCGCATTTTCTTCATCACTACTAGAGAAATTCATTACTTTAGATTTCCTGAAAACGCAGACTAAATGATGATGTGATAAATGCTCCCAAGTTGAGTTTTCATCATTCATATCAACATTGCAATCAGCACATTTCAAATCATACTGATTTTCACTCTTTCTCTCCAAAACCATTGCATTAACAAGTTCTTCAATTGCATTATCAAGAGTGAACCTCATTAATATTCTATTGAATTCTCCAGGGATTTTATAGCAAATCAAAGGATAATCCTCAGGAATATCTTCCTTTTGCAATGCAAAAATCTGTGTGTGTTTATGAAATAAATGGACAAACAGTTCACAAGGAGAATCAAATCCAATTCCACAATCGAAACATGACAAAATTCCATGATTGACTTCGCCAAACTTTAATTTATTTGCGCAGTCAATTCCGAGATTCATAACTTCATCACTGTAAATGTCTTCATCATTATAACATGTAGGTGAATGTTTCCACATACTGGATAAAATAGTTCCATGATTTGTCCATGCGTAATCTTTCAATTCTTCTTCATTGTCAAATTCAGTAGAATCGAAATAGAAATGATCATTTTCTTCGCGAATTCTCTTCTCCATTTTATAGTACGAATATACAATATCTTTCAATTTCATGTCCGGCATTTGCTTTATCATTTTCGCATGCTCTAATCTCGCGTGTGTAAATGCAATATGAATTGTGTTAAGTTTACGATGACATATTTGACATTCCCAGTTGTTTTCTTCAACTTCTTTGAAAACAGATAACCCCAAAATAATTTCATGAATAACTCTCTTTAGATAAGAAGGAGTTTGACAAGGAAAATAAAGATTTGGAATGATTTCACCATGAAAATCCCAAACATGGCTTTTAATGTCATCAAATTCTTTTTGACAAATATGACAAAAATTATTTGTCACTTCACCTGTTGCCAAATAATGATTTAACATTGTTTGTTTGGGTCCAAACTCTTTTGTGGGCTCATAAATCTTTTCTTTCCTTATTATACTCTTATCGAATATTTCTGAACCGCGATATGCAACATCTGTTGTAAAAACAGGACGATATGATTTTGGAGTTGGTTCTTTTTTGACTTTTTCTGTTTTATCCTTTCTTTTTCTATCTTTTTTTGACTTTTGTTTCGGTGGTTGGACAATTTTCTGTGATTTATATTTCATTTTAAGACTTTTAACAGCTAAAAACAAGCCATAAACATCAAATGCTGCATATAAAATTTGTTTGACAGAAAGTGGTCTTTTTGTCCAATCACTTGTTGTCATCTTCTTGTCTTTGAATTGTGCACTCGGTTCTCCTACAAGTGTTGTTATCATTTGTTCGAAATTGAGCGGCAAGTTGTTTGGTGTCAAATAATATTTTTCAATATCAATTATGTCAAAAGTTTCATCAAACATTTGGCGGAGTTTCTTTTTATCTTGAGAAATTCCTTTGGCATAGAAAGTGTGTGCCTGAAGGAAATTATGTAATGAGTCTGTTCCATCCTCTAAAGAGTTAGGAACAATGAGAACTCCTTTTGAAGAACAAAATTGGAACAAAGAAATAGGGTGAGCTTGATCATTACGATTTGGTTTCCATTCTAAATCAATGCAAATAACATTTCCGTCGTCAAATTGATTAAAGCATTCAGATAATTTATCAGATTCAGATGAAATAACTGTAACAGAGACAGGCGTGTTCTCGAAGAAGTCAACAAGTTTAGTTTCACCTTCTTCCCAAAAAACATTAATTAAATCATCAAGTTGTTGACTATCCGGGCCAAAAGAAATACGAGGTAACATTTTTTAAAAAGTAACATCCACTTTCAGACAAAAACGATGCCAACTTTAAAACTATAGTATGGTAAAATCATGTGAAAAAAATTGTTGAAGCAGCAGCTGAATCTGTTGAAAGAGCAATGCCAGAAGTCTTAAGGTGGGAATCAAAATTGGACGCTTCAATTAAGGCGTCAGAAATTCCTCAAAAGAACTTTGATGAAGAAATCATAAATCTAAATCAGAAAGACATATCGAATGAATCTCGATTTGCGAGTATAATGCGATTGAATTCACGATGCCCCATGAACTTACTTCTTTTTTCATTTCCAGCACCATTAAACAAGAAGGATGAATACATCAAGGCAGTCAAAGATCGATTGTCTACAAATACTGAAATGAAAACATTCAACGTTGCAATCCGCGAATACTTTGCTGCTAAGGATTCATCTATGCGTAATCCTGAGTCAAGAGATCAAATATGTGAAGATTTTGTTTCCAGATTTATTAGAAATGAGATATGATAATTACTTCTTCTGTTAATAAAATATTTTTATTCTTCTTTGAATATTTATACGAACAGTCCATAAGAACAAATCATTTCATGATTATTTTATCGTTGATCCGCTTCTGACAAAGATATATATTAAATTTCATTAATATTCTCGATCAGATAACAATATCAACTTATATCAGAGTATGGTGCCAGCTATAATGATATATTAATAAAGATTGAATTTTTCCGATATGAACTCAGAATTATATTTTGTTTCATTTTAATAATATAAATTAAATCATAATTTTTTTTGTTCTTCAATCGAATATTTCGATAACGTAAACTTTTGATCAAACTCAAAAAGCGGTTAAAGTTCTTAAAGTGAATCCTCAGAAAAAAAAATTACGTTTTTATGTTTAAAAATTTAAAAGATCAATTTACTCTTGAAGAGTATACCATGAGTCACCTCTAAGTGATGACCGTAGACACAAAATCCATAAGTATAGTCCTTGAAAAATCTCAAATTCAGCTCCAAATTTCATTTTGTTCAGAATACAAACCCGAAAATTCAACATACAACACTAAATGACTATAACATATGCTATAATTAATGGAATTTAGTACAATTGTTCATCTACAATCAATCATTATTCAAAATTGCTTATTCTCAAACATAATTTTTTGCATTTTCGAGTTTTAAAAGTACTATATAATAATATTCATTCAAAATTTGGCAAAAAGCGAAAATTAAAATTTGATTAATTTATACTTTTAATTTAATGTTTTTGAATACATGAATGCTGATTTGTTTTCTACTTTCACAACGTAATATCAGTAAATTTCAATATCGTCCTGGAAGTAATGATGAAGTTATTGTTAATTGTTGCGGATCAGAAGGTGACATTGTTATTCCTAAAACTGTCAAAGAAATAACTGAAGAAGTTTTTGGTTTATCTGGTTGTGATAAAGGTCTCACTTCAATTAGTTTCCAAGATGACAGTGAAATTATCAGTATTGGAGAAGCTTGCTTTTTTGGGGCAGCTATTGAATTAGCAAATCTCAGTAATTGTAATAAACTAGCTTTTCTTAATTCATCACTATTTGCAGAATGCCCATTTTTAGAAACAGTTATACTCCCAAACAATATTTCAGGTATAGGTGAATATTGTTTTAGAAGTACTTCTAGTTTACAATCAATAACCTTTCCAGGAAACATATCATGGATTGGATATAACGCATTTTATGAATCTAAACTAATATCCATCACGATACAAGAAAACTTATCATCGATTGAATATCCGTTTTATGGTTGTAATTCATTAATAAATATCACAATTCTTGGAAATGTAAATATTTTGATGAAAGGATGTTTCGAGGATGTGATTCATTAACAAATATCGCAATTTATGGAGATATTGATACTATTAGACCCAGTACATTCTACGAAAATGCGCGAAAAATATCAAACGTAACAATTCTGGGAAAAGTGAGATATATAGATTTCCTCGCATTTTATAGATGCTACTCATTAACAAGTTTCAAATTCAATGGAGGTTTAGAGTATATTGGATCTGCTGCATTTAAAAATTGTTCAAAACTAACAAGCTTCTCAAACTCAGATTGTTTAAATATTATTGCAGATGAAGCATTTTATGGATGCATAAATCTAGAGAGTATAACAATTGCAGGTGATAACATATCTATTGCAGATAAAGCATTTTTCGAATGCTCAAACCTAGCAAGCATCACAATCACAGGCAATTTAACATATATTGGTGAATATGCGTTTGAGAGATGCTCAAACATCGCAAGCATCACAATCACAGGCAATTTAACATATATTGATAGTTGTGCGTTTGATGGATGTTCAAACTTAACAAGCATCACAATCACAAGCAATTTAACACACATTGGTGAATTTGCGTTTAGGAGATGTATAAACTTACCAAATGTAGCAATTCCAGGAAGTTTGACATCCTTGGAAAAGGGCATATTTTTACAATGCTGGAGATTGGTATCTATCGCATTGCCAGAGTGTTTAGTATCTATTGAAAATAGTGTGTTTTCATTTTGCGAAAAATTATCAAATATCACAATCCCAAGAAATGTAACGTGGATTGTAGGTTATGCATTTAATGATTGTAAAAGCTTAATAAGTATCACATTGCCAGAAGGAATAAATGTTGTTTCTTATGGCTTATTTGATGGTTGCATAAACTTAACAACTATCAATATACCACATAGAACAACATATATTGAATTTGAAGCATTTGCAAATTGCATCTCATTAACAAAAATCGAATTCCCAAGAAATTTAACAACAATTTATGAAAAAGCATTTAATGGATGTGTAAGTTTAACAAGTCTCATATTCCCAGAAAGTTTAACATCTATTAGATATCAAGCATTTGGAGGATGCACAAGTTTAACAAGTATCACACTCCCGGGAAGTTTAACGCTTATTGAATATGATGCATTTTCTTCTTGCCCAAAATTGAAAAGTATTACATTCCAAAACAATACTAATACAATTAGTTTTGGCACAAATATATTTTCTGACAATATACTAAATATTTACATCCAAGGAATGTTTATTGCAAATCAATCTAGTCGAAATAGAATACAACCAAACAGTCATTTATATGTAACAGATCAAACAGTTTTAACAAACACGTCCAAAGAATTTTTTGGTGTAAAGTCAGTTTATGTTCACTATAAAAACATAACAGAACTTACCGATCAAATGACAATTGATGTTCTTCAATACATCGCTATTGAGCACAGAATTGATCCATTTGTTTTCCCTCAAACTGTAAATGATCCTATTATTTATGAATCTGATTATAGTTTTCTCTCTATTCTCTTGATTGGTCTTTACTCATAGTCAATTTCATGAATAAAACATACCCTATAATTTTATGAATATGGCACTTTTCGTCGATTTTCAAAGAATTAAATCGCTTCTATCTCAATAACTAATAAACATATAAGATTTTTGAAAGTATATATATAGTGTACTACATCTCAAGATATTATTAATATGTATTAGAAAGAATAATATATTGGATTTTGATATCACAAAATGACTTTTCAATTTATTGTAGTTCCTCACAGAGTTGAGATTCTACAAAATTCTTTGCAGATAATTTATGAAGGGATGATAGACTAACGAACTATAGATACATGAATTGAAAATAAAAAAATCGATTAAATATGAACCTTCATAAACCGTTTAAGAAACTTAAAAACTATTCTTTATTGTTTATTTTGGACGAAGTTTAATATGATTGTGGTTTTATTGGACAATAATCGAGTAACGGAAAAATATAACATTTATCTATAAAGTGAAAATTTAGAGGTATATTTCGTAAGATATTTCCTCTCTGATTACAAGAACTATTGTGAGCTATCAATCTAATGAAAGAGAGCAGATTTGGCCGTAATGAAAATGCAATACTTCGAAAATCAATGCAAAAAAGATTAATTTGTTAGAAACAATCGACTATGACACTGAATTCTAAGAGCAAACGTTTACATTAGGATATTTTGATCATTTCCAAATATTGCAAAATTGCATTTAAACAAGTTAAGGAGAATACTATATTAACCGTGTTGTAAGGAAATATAACAATTTTAAAGATTTTGCGACAGAATTTGAAAAAATATGAAAATCAGATATATAAAAATTGAATAAAATAACATTATGATGGAATATAAGTAGATGAGCTATTAATGCTGCTATGATTTAAAATTGAGTAGTAATGAAATAGAATTTCGATTAAAAAAATTAATGTAATCGTATGAAAGCTTTGATCCTAATAATTAATATTCGCAAATATTTTAACCTACTAATAAAATTCTGATTATATTAAGATATTTTAAAAATGAGATTCCAAATTGAATGGTGATGGAGATGAAAATTTTTAAAAATATAAATAAGAGGATAAATTGATTGAGATATTAACTAGTAAATATTTGAAAAAGTAAATTATTTGAAATCCTTTAAAAATGTTACGGATAAAAGCTATATAAATAAAATGACTGGTGTGGTTGGTTAGCTTAATGTGTAATATCAAAAAGAATTAATGGGTGTTGTTCACTGAGCAACTTTGAGAAGAATCATTTGTGATTCTTGTCAAAGTTGAATCAAAGACAACAATTGATAGACAATGCTTGTCTTTGTGTACAACATTCACTTGAATTATAAACAATAACAAGTGTTTGTTGTTCACTGAGCAACTTTGAGAAGAATCATTTGTGATTCTTGTCAAAGTTGAATCAAAGACAACAATTGATAGACAATGCTTGTCTTTGTGTACAACATTCACTTGAATTATAAACAATAACAAGTGTTTGTTGTTCACTGAGCAACTTTGAGAAGAATCATTTGTGATTCTTGTCAAAGTTGAATCAAAGACAACAATTGATAGACAATGCTTGTCTTTGTGTACAACATTCACTTTATTGATATCCCAAACTATTTCAACATTTAGTTTCTTAAAAACTCTATTTTTTGTTCTCTCTCTCAATTTTCAAAAGTCATTAATTTTGCATTACTTTATTTAAAATATAATTAACATTGGATAAAAACATTTATTATAATGCCATTTTGGATCAATCTTATGATATTTCAAATCTTTTAAAATACACTCATTCATAACAAATAGTTGCCCTAGACATGTGCGTAACCTCTGTGTACGATATTCCAACACCTTACGACCTGTATGCAAGTTTTTAATTATTGAATAAAAAAACAACAACATACCGTACTTCGAGTATAAAACATGTATACCCTAATAAAAACAAAAATTAGGACATATTTGATTTATGATTTCTTTTCACAAATCGAAATTTTGATCTCTCAATTTTAAACATTTTTCAAAAAAAACTTATAAATATATTTCTTATTGTATAATATTGAAAAATAAATCATCATGGATGAATATTACTAGTACTTCAAAATTATTTATTTTTTCGATCTAAATATAGAAATAATATCTACTCTATATAAAAATAACAATTATTTAATTTTATTGAAATTTTTATTATTTGATTAATATATTTTATGTGATATCTTAAATAGCAATAAAAACTACACCACATAGTTATTCTAGAGTACCTTCATCTACTTCTAGAATTATAGGCTCTGGATTCGAATCTATGGTGCGCTATTGATAAAGTAAATTTCTCCATAGGCCCCCAAAAAATTGACAACCCAGGAATTATAGGGTATTTTAACTCAAAATTATTCTTTCTTTGATTTCGAATAACTATCTGCTTCATTTGAGCTGAATGCTTTTTAGTTGGCAAAAAATTGCAAAATGCTTTACAATATATATTAAGATTTTCAGAGAATTGGAAAAATAAAGTAATAATTGTAAGAGATATGATATGTATGAAAAGTGTTGGTAGAAGCGGTATGTTTGGTATGCAAAATTGAGATAGGATATAAAAATCCCCAAAATTCGAAATTTGACACTAGTTTCTGTGGACTTATTAGACTTGTGCTCTTTCTCTCTGCTATGAGATTTAATGAAAAAATTAATAAATAGATATTCTATTGGATTGAAGAATATATTTAACACATTTAAATCACATTACAACAATGTTTAGCATATTTGAATGATATATTTACTTCATCTATTGAAATATACTTCGATTATGTATAGCTTCAACGTTTAAATCATAAAACGATAACGTATTTAGATGCTATTATTATTTTTAGCGTTTATGTTATCATTATTAACAAAAATTGCTGATATAATAGAAAATTAAATTTCGTTATTGAAATTCTTTGATAATTGAAGACAGAAAATCTGATCCTATGAAACGAAGTACGATAAAATTGATACTAACAAAGAAATCATTCTATAATTCACTTGAACTACACAACATTCAGGAGAAAACTAAAATTATATGTGGTGTTAGACCCCTAAATTATTAAAATGCAAACAACAACTACTACAACAGACCCAATACGTAAGCGATTTGATAGCGACAGTGAAGCAAGATTTCTATTAACACCAGGACAGAGCATTACTCTATCGGTTGACAGTGGATCTGTTTTTTACAATGGTTGGCAGCTACCAGAAACAGGACAAGTTGTTTTTCGTGATAAAGACTTTACCCTTATGTCATACAAAGACAGTTATACATTGAAATTCATGGGAAAGCTTCCGAGATTTTATGCTGCAAAAAGAATACCTCAAGAGTCTGTTCCTGCATACGATTTAATCAGTCAAAAATCAGTTGTTGCTGTTTGTGGACCACCACTCTCAGGAAAAACTACTGCTTGCCAAACAATTATCAACTCAGCTCTTCATGGAGTTCCACAACATCCTAAAGAAAAGCCAATTCCTATTTACGTAAATCTTGACCCTGCCCAGGCTCCATTTTGCCCTCCTGGATCAATTGGTGCCCTTCCAATTACAAAACCTATCGATAATACCGGATTTAAGATTGAAAATCCACTCACATATTTCTTTGGACATACAGAAATAGACGAAGCTCATCGTGATCGCTACACAGATCTTGTTCACGAACTTGCAACGTATGTTAAACAAAGAAGACAAGCTATCTCTCAATCTGATGGTGGAGTAGTCATAGATTTACCTTCTCCTACTAATGAGCACGTTCTTCCAGGAATTGCTCAAGCAATTAAAGATTTCGAAGTTACACACATTGTTTGCATCGGAGACGATCGTCTTGTTGCAACATTTCAACGTTCGTTCCCTTGGATAAGCGTTTGGGGAATGCCAGCTTTAGGTGCTGCTCATGATGACGAAATTTCTATAAGAACCGCTCAAAGAAGCCTCGATACAAAGAGATATTTCGATGGTGATGATTCTGCTGATCTTGTTTCGATGACTTACAGATTTACAAATAGAGATGACTTCAAATTATACAAAGTTGACAAAAGAGAGCCCGAGGAAGTGCCAATATCAACTTCTTTGATGGCTTCTGTGGTAGCAATTGTACAAAGACCACATGTTTCGAATGAATTATGGAAACAAAATGTTTTGGGATATTTAACAATTACTAAGGTCCAAAATGAAGATAATATTGAAGTTTTGAAGCCAAAGCAACCATTGCCTAATAATGTACAATTCATTATTGGTTCAATCAAATATTTTATCAAATAAAATTTATTTTTTATTTTTGTTGTTTATGAGTAATAAGTAAAAGAAAAGTTTATTAATATTACAACCAAAAGCACATATTTCAAAAGTTAAATATAAAAATTATAAAATAATAAAAAATTATATTTCTTTTCTACACTCCGTATCACATAAATTGAATTATTTTCCCCATTAGTATGATTTCACTCATTTGAAGTGTTTATAACCTTTTGAAATTGAATATTTTCAATTTGGATAGGTTTTTAAAGAATAGTATTCTTATGCACTTCCTACATATCTCTCAAATTTATACATGCAACGTTGAAACCAACAAAAATAATGTCATTAATCAATTGAGTTCGACCGAGTTATTTTTGATACAAAAATATTCTATGACATCTATCAATTTTATAAACCAATTCTATTCTAATTTCGTATATGATTCTGTATTGAATGATAAACTCATAACATTGATCTTGTCTTTTTTTTGGCAAATTTTGAATCAATTTTTGCTAAATGTCAATTACTATTTCCCCAGAGACAGTTTTTAGTCCTCATTACCTGTCTCTGCTTACGGAACATCCACATTTAGCATACCCTGATCCAGAATCGACTCAAGTTTTTAATTTAGTAGATAATGTTTTATCTTTACAAAAATTTGATGGCACACAGGACTCTCATATGAACGATTACAATAAGATTTTAGATCTCTCTATATCTAAGATGAATTCGATCTTAGAAGCTTCAAAAACATTCGAAACTTTTTTTGTAACGCTCGAAGAGCAAATAAAATCCTATGTTCATCAAATAGTTTCCAGTTATATAGAGTCTCAAACATATATGACTGAAGAATCCGTTGCCTCTTCTACTGATCAATCAAAATCACTGGACCAAGTATTCATAAAAATAAGATTTTTGCTCGACTTGATACTCGGAATGAGAGAAGGATGCGATACATTCATCGTTGCTTCGGAACACGCTTTCTTTGTCAAAAATAATTTTCTTTTTACTTTTATTCCTGAAAAATTTTCAAGAGAAAAACAACTTCCTTCAGACTACATGATATGTGGAGTTGGAAGCACTATATACGTCGTCTCAAATTCAAATAATTCCCTTTTACAAATCGAAACTTCGTCAATTAACTCAGAAGAAACATTTACATTAAAAGAATTACTAGGCAATGATATACCAGTTATATGTATAGGCGATAAAAACGGAAATTTAGCTTTAATTCAGAAAATTAATGGAAAAATCGTTCAAAACATTCTTACTTTAGACCAACAGAACAAAAATATGCAAACAGAATTATACGAATCTACCATGAACGATTCAAAATTTTACTTCCGCGATGGAAAATTGTATGAAGTCGGAGATAAGACTTTTATCGATGGAATTTTATCAGAAGAGAAACCGATTTATCCTATTTATGCAGAAAAAACGAGTTCTTTCTTTATTGAAGACGGAAAAATTTTATATCAAAAATATCCTGGCGAAAACAAGTCAGAAATCATCGATTCATTACTTACTCTCATCAAACCATTCCCTACAACGAAAGACAAGTTCATTAATCCATTACTTCATGACAAAAAAGTTAATTATTTACAATTCACTCAAAATATCACTTCAACATCTAGATTAATACTTTATATCATGGAGCGAGTTAATGTACTACCACAAGAGCATCGAATTGGCCTTGTAGCAGGCTTAATGACCATACTTACGATAAATTTACGTCATTTCGCATTCCAAAACGTTGAACCATCGACCATGAATGAAATTTACAACATCTACAAGCACTTCTCACAATACTCAACCTCTCTTTCCATATCAATTCTCCAGTGGATGTCTGTAATTCCTTCGACCATTTATTCTGACACTTTTATCGTAAATCAAATTTTACGACCCGCCTTTTCATATGTATATATGAACAAAGAATACTCCGCCATCAAAGATTTCGTATTAAAGAAGCCTCAATCGTTAATTTTAGTTTCCGAAGATTTGATATCTCAATTACCCGACCAAGAAGGCATTCTTTTGATAATTAAGACCATCGACTACTTGCCTATCTGTTACGAAGCAATGAATGCCGTAGAAAGTTGTGCGGAATACGTTTCTATCGTTCTCAAAACAATTTCCAAACTTTTAGACAGAAAAATGATATATAATGCCAACAGATACTTCCAACACTTAGTTTATTCACTGTCTACACTTAACAATTCCCATCAAATCGCCGAAGTTTTCATCAAAGATTCGATGAAAAATTTGATAAAACTTTCAAAAGAAGTCGAGAAAACAGAAATTTCTGATACATGTGATAAGAATTTCACAGGATTAGAATCTGTTTATACAAAACAGAAAGACTTCTTTGAAGTTTACCATTTGGTTGATGATATCCAATTAACTATTGATGCAGGAAAAATAAGGAATTTGAAAGTAACTGTTTCTGATGAATTAGAAACAAATTCTACTTTAATTTTAAATGGAACTAAATATACAGTTCAAAATGGTTTGGTTGTAGAAATATTCTCATCAATCATTAATCTGTCGTATATTGATAGATGTGATGAACAACATGAAGTTATTTTGACTGTACAAGGTTCAAGAATGGAGCCACAACCTGAAGATAATTTGGAACCAAGTTTGACATCGATAAATTACGTGGCAAAAACAATTGGCAGTTTCATCGACCAGTTATTGAACTCTAATACAATTTCTAGATTGGAATACGACAATAGACATTTAATCGGAAATTCTTTCATTAGAGAATTTGAAAGTTTTTCAAAAAATTCTGAAAATGTAAATTATTTTGAGAAAAAAGACGATAAAATGCAAAAATTCTTAGATTTCATGGATAAGATTTCAGGAATTAACATGCAGATTAAGAAGAGAGTCAGGAATTTTGATGAATTACTTGAGAAAGTCTTGAGTGTTTATATTTTCCAATTAAATGCAAAAGAAGAAGTTGAAAAATTAATAAATGAACAAGAATTGACAAAAGACAAAGTTTCTCATAAATTGAGACATACTTGGACATGTGTTTCCGGTCTGAGAAGAGAATTATTATCCTTGAAACAAAAGGAAATCGCTGAAACAAACAAAAACAAATATTCTTTGCAGGATTTCATTCAAAACATCACAGAAAAGTGTCAATTTTTGACATCATCAAAACTTTCTTTAAATCAAAGTGATGAAGATGTTGTTAAGTACTTGAATGACTTGTTTGTTAATTACATTCCTGTACAGGATATCATGAAAATTGCTAAAGAACAAAACAAAAGATTGTCATTGAGAAAAATTTCTTTGGATGTAATTTCTGAATTCATCAATAATTCAAGTGTTTTTAGGAAATCAACAATCGAAACATTTCTTATTAATATCAAGGTTTCCTTTAGTATTATTACTGACGAAAGATCATCATTAATTGGAAAATTTAGTTTGTATAATTCTCTTTTGGAAAGTTTAGAAAATTGTATTGAATCTTTCTATTCTGCAATGGTAGAATTAAAGAGTGATTGCATGTATATATCATTCATGAAGTTCTTCTGCAAATGCCCTTCAATTGTTCAGAAATTTACTCAAGGAATTATTTATATTTTGACAAATTCAAGTAAGAAATTTTTGAAATATGCTGAATCTGTTTTAGTTTCTTTGAGTAATGAACCGATTGTTATAGAGACAATTAACAACGGCGCTCTTGAAATAGATGATGAAGATTATAGAGCAACAGCATTCTTCATTTTAAGTTTGTCTGAAAACGCAAAAGTTCCTTACGAAATTTTGTTTTCGAAGAAAAAATCACAAAAATGTGAAGTTGCAAGTTTACTTTTAGCCGGAAAATTATTAGTGAAAGATAAAGAAGGAGAAGCAGTTTTAAGGGCAAATCTTGATAATTTAGTTGAAGAACTAAGCCAAACAATGACAGGCGAAGACAACAGATTTTCTGTTTGTGCAGAAATCATTTCTTTCTTTAGATTTTTGTTGTTACCTTTTTCTGTTCACAAAGATTTTATTTTAGAATATTTGCATTCATTATTTGTTACGAAAACAATGATATTTACTAACAAAATCATTGCAACGTTCCTTATTTTAGGACATCCTTTGTTTAGAGCTGAAGATACAGGAGTTGTTTATAACTCAAGTATGATTAGAATTTTGTATAATGATGTGAAAAAAGAAGAAATTGATAATGTATATCCGATGGTTAGAATTTCTATTGATCCAAACACTTTCACTTTAACACCAAGTGAAGTATCTGTTGTTGTTGGTTTGCAAGAGAAAATCAATGGAATTGTCGCTCAAAACAAACCAGTAAGTTTGCACAAAGCAAATGACATTGAAATTTTTTATTGTTTTTTGGCAACTGCTCTGCAAAATCCTCAAAACGCAGAACAGTTCAAACCGCATGCAGCTAAAATGCTAAAGTATTGCGAACTCAACGCAATTACAAGAAAAGGAATTTCGCCGGCAAAATTAATGAACAGATTGGCAGAAACTTTGTATACTTTGTCACTTTTCCCAGAAATTTCTTCACCAAGTGCAACGTCATGGATTGATTATAAGTTTATCAGCATGACTACAGGTATTGTTCATAAGAATCATTTGGATTCCGCGTCTGTTGGCATTTCTCTTTTTGTTGGTGAGAGAAAAATCCAGAAAAACCATACATTCAGTTACAGAATTGTTTTTGATAAACCAGGAACTGCTTCCATTGGTTTTATTGATGCAAACAGTATTCCTACTGAAATTAAGTTCTACGGACTTACTAAGAATTTCAATAAATACTCGAATGTAACTGCAAGTCTCTCGCCAAACTCCATTTGCGTAAGTGACCTCGATAAGAGTTACATCAGTGAATTTTTGACAGGTGACATGTTACCTGCAATTATTACTATTAATTGCAGAGTTAAAATGTCATATTCCATGTCAAATAATTCAGTTATATACAATCCACCTGTTACTCCCGAATCTCCTCTTTTTGATGACCATATTCCTCATAGAGTTATTGAAAGCAACCTTGGTTCTTATGATGAAAGAATTCAGACATTTAACATGAAAGTTGTCGGAGAAAAAGTGAGGACAAAGAATGGAATTATTGGCGAAATCGACAGCATTTCTAGCAGATCTGATCCTAAATTAAATATCAGAATAAGCAACAGAGATGGTAGCAATGAAATCGTTACAATTCAAGCTAAAAACGCTGAAGTAATTCCAGAGAAAATTCATACTTTAGTTTCAAGGGCAAAAAGGAAATCAAGAGATGACAAAAATCAAGATTTTGTTTACAGAAACAATTATATCAGGAAGTACAATAGAATGGTTGGCAAACTGATGCTCTTATGCTTGAGATCAATTATACCTTTAATCTCATCAAATATCCCACTTTCTACATTGGAAACAATCATGGATTACGCGTTACCTTTTACTTTTGGTGTCTCAAATCAAAAATCAACAAAAGTGACAAAGTTCACTTCACCTTACATTACAAACATCAATTACAGATTCCCAGGCGACAGAGAGTTTTTGAGCAACTTTGTACAGAAGGAACTACAAAAGTACAATGTCCAAGACATCATAAATTACATTGTACAAAAAATTTCCGCGAAACAATCTACTTCTAGTAATTGTGTTTATCATATATCATTTTATGCCATGCGAACAATAACTGTTCCTATTTCTTTGAAAGAAGATGAAGCAGTTATTTTCCCTCTCGAATTCAATTCACAAGAAAATGTTGGAGCAACAATTCCAAATGGAAATTATCGTTTCAGGAATCAGTATCATATCCAATATATTTGTGTTCCAAAATATCTTCCTGAAACAGATATAATGTCTTCTATCGTTGTCCTTCATTTTGTTTCTAGTTTCATCGATGTTTCCAAAGATAAAATAACATTTGATGATATTCACAACATGGCAACAAGCATTTTGAATCAAATGCCAAATAACAACGCAATTATTAATTCCATGAGATTGTTTATCGAAAAGAACACTGAATTGGCTTGTTACAACAAGAAATACATACCTAGTGTATTGGAAGAAATCAGATCTTTGGATACTAATGACTTAGGAATTATCTCTTTCTTGGCAAACCTCAAACAAAAGATAATTTATTCATTGGACATAGAATCAGAAGATTTCGAACATCTCGCAAGAGAAATTTGCGCAGAAGTAACTAAAGTTGATAAACAAATTAATGAGTTTATGCTTGTTAAAGCTTTCCAAAAATTCAGTCTTCCTACTGATAGATTCAACATTATCGCGTTGAATTATGTTGTCGACCAATTTACTTCTCTCAAACAAATCTATAAGATCGCATTGGAATCAAATAATAATTACGATTGCGATGTCGATATCAATTTATATGAGGAAGTATCTGAGCCAATTAAAGATGATGCTCTGAAAGAAATCAGAAGGAAAATGTTGATCCGATTCATGTCTGTTGAAACAAGTCAATATTCTCAGTTCTTTGATGTTGATTACTTCCGATCACATGATATCCATCTCTCCATCAAATCATTGCCAAACAGATATCAAATTTTTGTTTCTTTCAACAGATTTTCCGCTTTCAAGTTCTTCGAAGGTGGAGATTCAGGAAAGAGCTTGATGCAACAGTTCGCAAGCCAATACACTGATTACTCATGTCTTGCAGTTATTGGTGCTCAGCCTTGGAGAATTACTTTGTACGGAGAAAACGCAATTGATGCCGGCGGACCAGGAAGAGAATTATTCTCACAAGTTTGTGAAGAAATTCTTAAACCACAGATGAAACTTTTCTGTTTGACGCCAAACGCCAAATCATTCCATGAAGAAGAATATTTGCCATGTATTCCTAATGGTTTAAGTACTTGTGCAGGTGCTTTCATCGCTGCTTGTGCAACATCTATGTTGCCTTTCCAGTTCAAGATTTGTACTCCGTTTTGGAGATCAATGACAGGAAAACCAATTACTATTCATGATGTTTATAGTATTTACAATGATTTTGCGATGCTCGTGCTTAAGTTACAGCATGCAAATTACGAAAGCGAAGAAGAGTTCATAACGAACTACAAATTGAACTTTGTTATTCAAGATTTGTATGGAAACCAAATGGAAATTATTCCAAATGGAAAACAAATCAAGGTAACATTAGGAAACTTGCAGATATTTATTACAACAGCTCAAGAAAAGTTGGTTGAGCAGTTGAACAATGCAATTGATGCTTTCAAAGAAGGTTTCTACCAAGTTTTGCCACAGAACCTTTGCGCGACAATTACAACAGATTCTTTAGTCCAAGCTTGTTGCGGAATTGATTTCATTCCTGATTCAACATTCCTCAATTATTTCAATATGGATTTGAACTCAACGATATTGAGGCAATCATTGATTCAATTGACACAAGAAGAGCGATTCGGATTGCTCAAATTCGCTTCAGGATCAAGAAATCCGAAAGCAAAGATTCACGTTCATTTCGACAGATCTAAAAACTCTGGACTTCCGACTGCTACTACTTGCATCCTGGCAATGACTGTTCCTATGTATAAATCAGTTCAGGTTTGCACGAAATCATTGAGAGCTGCAATTCAGTTCTCTTCTGTTATCACTGATTCTGATTTTGATATTCGTATGTTTAATTTTACTTAATTTATCTTTATATATATAAAATATATTTATTTATTCGTTTTTATATAACTTATTTTTTGATTCATAAATATGTAAACATATAAAATTTTTTTTAAAAAAATTTATTTGCACTTTTTCAATTCGTCCTCACAATTTTTGAATGCTCAGAAAATAAAATGCAAAAATTTTATTGAAAAAGTGCATAATGAATGACATTATATTTGCACTTTTTCTGATTTCATCAGAAAAAAGTGCAAATATAATGATAAAATGTTGGCAAGATTTTAATTCTTTAATGAAATTGTTGCAAAAGATATCCCAACACCTTGAAGATGAAAAAGAACTGTGCATCTTATTTCATTTCTTTTTTCAATGAATATAAAAAGTTTGCCACCCGGGCATAGTCCAGTTGAGAAAATATGAGGTTCAATTGAAATTAATTGACATTTTTCAATTCTCACCTTTTCCCCTGGTTTATATACAAGCTCTGATGCATCAATATATGAATTTGAAATTGTTATTGAGCCACTCGAATATTCATATATTGCAAACAAATATTGACTATTTTGTTTGTTATTTGCAATGAAACAATTATCTAGAAAATTATTATTCTGGCAACTAATCATTCCATTTAATCCTTCAGGTTTCGAAATAGTGTTGTTTATAAAAGCAACCTTGTTATATTTTGTTAGTATGGAATATGTAATGCATATTCTGGATGCTGCATAATTTTCATCAATAATTGAATATTTTATTGAAGTTGTACCTGGATTGTTTCCTATGGAAAAAGCTGTGTTATATTGACAATAATTTTTTGTAATATTGTTTTGCAAAAATGAAATATTTCCAAATTTTAATACAACTGTATTATATCCATTAGCATCTCCTTGATTACTGTATGTTATTGATGAATCATGAACTTCGTTGATATCTGTTGATTTTTGTAATTCAACACTGCAAAATTTTCCATCATCTGCTGCCTTAGAACCAAAACTACATACTTTTCGAATGGAACTTTGACCTAAAGTAATGCAAATAGACCCACCTTGATATTTTCGAGAAGAGTTTTCGAAAGAAGACCTCGAAATAAGTGACTTAACATCATCATAATAAAGAACAATAACTCCATCATTGCCAAGATTGGAAAAATAAACTTCACAGACATAAAAGTCTCCTGTTATATCTACATATGTCTGATTTTGATTGAAAACAGTTTTTTTATATTCCGATTTGTAGACTTCTTCCCATTCATTATTGGATAAATGTAATATATTCAATATTTTTAAGATTTCATGCTAGTATGATTCTCACTTGTTTAAGAGGATTTTTAGAAAAATGAGAAAATGATTTGAAAAGAATTCAAAAAATTGAAATTTTCGTGACTTCATTCAATTTTTTAAAAAGTCAGTATGAAAATTTTAGTCCTTTTGAACTTCAAAAATATGAGAATCGAAATTTGAAAAATTCATGTGTATATAATTTTGGTGTAAAAAAATATTGAACTTATTTTTCCATTTGTTTTCACAATTGATAATTTGAATTACCCTCTCAATTTTATTTATAAACGGTGAACTTCAACAATTACTCACCTCATATTCTAAGTAAATAGTTTTCCATATTCATGATGAAATTTTTTATTAGAATTATGTATTAATGTGTCCTGATTGTTTTACCTATGTCAAACAATTTCTGAGCGTTTACACCCGTGATTCCACAACATTGAGAATTTTACCAATTAAAGAGATGAATAACAATTATTTTAATTATTAACTTCATAGGTCAAAAACTAAGCAACAATAACCTATGAAGTTATCACTTTCTTTGCATTTGTTGTTTCTACGCAAGATTTTATCATTATTTTCAGATAATTAATTAAAAATAAAATGATAAAACTTTATTAAACAAAATAAAAACTATATAAAACAAATTGATTCGATCGAAACATTTTCGCTGCAAAAAGCTCTTGCGTATTTCGTTCCTTCTGGAGCATCAACTAAATAGACCAATTTTCTTTCTTCAAGCATTTCTCCAGTGAAAAGTTCACAGAAAGTGATTTCTGAGTCATCTTCCTTGTAGAATCCGAATACAAGGTTATTCCTATTCGATTTTCTGTTGACACTCACCAAAACTCCAAATTTCTTCGAATTCAACATAATTTTTTCTGGATTTGTGAATTTATCAGAATTTTCCAATTTCGAGTAAATATTAACATTAAAATTCAAAGAACTCGACTTCTTCATTACCTTCTCTTCAACAACTTCATTACTTGAAGTCTTCAACTCCATTTTATTTGTTGGAATTCCGTGAATTTGGAATCCAGACAAAACAAATTTTTCATTTGTTCTGAAAATTATGTCACAGATATCTGTAACAACAACCTTTTGTATTCCTGCCCATATAACACCAGGATCCTTTTCATATATCACCAAAGGAATCAATTTTTCATCAACAATTATTGTTATTGACATGTTTTGGCTGAATTTCGAAACATAAAACTCAAAATGTTCCAATTCACAATAATGAGACAAAACAACAGTGAATCTGAACTCTTTAGACACTTCTTTTGCGCAAGTATTCTCTAACAACTCTTGAGGTGCTCCAATAATGAAAGATTCGGGATTTTCTGTAACAACAATCGGCATCGAAAAAGTAATTTTTCTCTTTTTAGATTCTTTCAAGTGGATTTTCGTGAATCTCGTTGATTCCATCATTTCTGTCTGTATACATAGCATGTTCGCCATCTCTAAACATTCATCACAAATATGAATTAAGTTGTCACTTTTTTGATTTGTCACTTTTGTAATTCTATTTTTAATTAATTCAGAAAAACAAAAAATATTTGACGCATTTTTGTTTCCGCATAAATAACAAGTTGAAGAATTATATTGTGACAATTTGTAAGGATCCAAAGGTATAGACAATTTAATATTCATATCGAATTCCCTTGACAAATTCATTTTCAATCTTTGCAATTCAATATCTTGGAATTGTCTTGTAGGAAATGCAATTTCTTGCATTGTTGTTACAATGAAATCCTTGTACAAGTTAAAGTTCTCTTTGTTTTGTTGAGAAAAATCAACTTGGTACTGATAAAAATCTTGAACTTTTTTCACTTCAAACAAAATTTTTCCAACAGAAATTTTTTGAATTTGAGGATGAAAAATGAAATCCAAATTTCTATCATCGATTTCGTCAATAGGTATTCTTATTACTGTGTTTTCATTAGTCATTGGCAACTTAACTGTTTTCATCTGACTCTTGTCTTGGCCTTGAATAAACAAGTTTCTCGGATGATTTTTTTCGGAATTAACAGTCGCGTAATAATAAATCGCTGTTAATTTAGTGGAATAAGGTAAAATGATACTAAAAGAGTTCATTGTTGTATCAACAATATCATTTTCATTTAAAATAAGTACATCAATTGGAAAACCTCTCGACAAAATTTGTATTTTCGTATGATCTAAAACAAATTTGTCGCCAATTTCGTTTTTATCGTAATTCGTCCATTTTTCGAACAAAACTTCCCTTTGTGGATCACTCACCATATTATTAAATCTTCTTTTAACTGAAATTGTTGCGTCACTCGATGCTTCATCCAAAAATGGAGAATATTGGCGAATAATCGATGTTTTCGCTGCAACTGTGTTAGTGTACAATAAACTAACAACATCTCCCGATTTAACATACGCTTCGGCGAGATATTCAATGACTTCTGGTTTGATTTTTTGAAGGGATTCAAAAGAAAAAGTGTCTAAATTTTGAATTAAATTTTGTTTTTGCATCAAAAATGTTGTTATCGCACAGGAATAGATGAAAGCAGCGACATTGGTTCTATCTAATGAATCTGCACAGTTAAATCTCAATGTAATCACTTGCCTGGTATCGGGTTCGATGTTTTTGTTCAAATTTCCTGAAGAATCTAAAGCATTTGGGTAATGAGTGAAATCTGATGCTTGTGCAAGTGGTCCAAGTAATTTACATAACTCTGCAATGGCTCTTGTGTGTCCTCCATTGTCCAAAAAATAGTTTAAGTCAAATGAAATAAATCTTGCGGAATTTTCGTTGTTTAGCTTCTTAACTACCTTTGAAAATGCTTCATGGAGTTCGTATTCGCCACTTTCTGGGTTACTTCTTAATAAACTGATGCAAAAAGTTTGAATTCCGCAATATCTTTCTTTTAATTTCCTGAAATAGCATTTGGAACCTTCAGAAGATTGATCAGTAACTATATGATGGACAGTCATCTTGTTTTTAACAACTGTCTCCCATTTTATTGGAACTGAGCCTCTTCTGTAAATTTGAGTCCAAATATCGCCTGTTGGTGAGCCAAAAATGAACTCGCACTCGCATTCGTTGCCTGGTTCATGTACTTCGTTGAGTCCGCGTGCAAAATACCTTACACCTGGATTTAAAGCGGATCTTTTAATTAAAAATGAAATTGAATGTCCTGATAAGATTTGAGTAGATACATAGCCTTGTATTAATATAATACATGCTTCTGGAACCCCTGCACGAACAAATGGCTCTCTCCATCTCATATTCCAACAAAATTCTGGATCTGGTTCTAAATAGTTTATCTGGGATGGAAACGGACGTGTAATATCGAAAAATTCAGCATAATAATGGCAGTCTTCTAATGGAAATTCGTTAAATTGAGTTTCATAAGAAAATTTGTTGCCAATGATTGAAATAAATTGAGCAGTTTTAACAACGTTGATAGGTATTTTACCTGGAAGATCGCATTGATAAGTTTGCTCTTTGATAATCGAAAATATAATTTGATCTTCTTCTTTGACCATTCCAACTAGCGCAATTCCATCTGCAATAATTTTGGATTTGAATATTGTTGTAATATTCTTCATAGCTTCGGAAAAATTTTGAAAAACGTCGATATTTGGAATTCCTAAATAGGAAGGAATATCTGCTAAAGGGTGAATTGTCATTATCTGAACGTATTTAGTGTTTTTAAGCTGAATGAGGAGATGTATTATGCCATGATCATTTAAAAATATCGAAACTCTTGAATTCATATATAATTTTTTTTTCAATACAAAAATGACAGTAATGGATTGTGCAATCATTCAGAATTATGATAGACATACACGAGTACTATTTGGTTAGTTGCATATGAGTTCTCAACTACCGACTCTAACAATTTTTCGGTCGACAAGATTAATATCTTAAATTACTCATGCCTGAATCATGATATCCATTTGATAGTTTAACGAACTAATCGCCCAATTTCTTTGGAAGCGAAAGATATTAAAATAATGAATAAAAATATATAATAAAATCGAGCTTATTATATAAATTTTATAGATACTTATATAGGAACTTAGTATAAAACATACCAAATTAGTTGATTTGAAAGTATAAACATAACATTTAGTTTTATAAAGAAGCCTGGTTCATTAAAGCGTAGGCTAATTGGGGCTGTCAATTTGTCCTGTTGGTGTGGATATGATTTGTCTTGGGCGAGCTTTTACATCTGGGGATTCAAAAATTCCTTTTTGTTTAATTGAAGGAGTAGATAAAGCGGACTGGTTCTCAACATACTCTTGGAATTGCTGCATATCTTCATCAGTGCCTATTTCAATGATGGTTGGTGGAGGACGGAACATTTTTTATTTTTAAACGTTCACTTTTTCAACAAAACTCGAAAATCACATTTAGCTTTGACTGTACAAGTATTCTGCTGTTTGATCTACAGACATTGAGGTATATAACGCGGTATTTTGAACATCTCCCATTAGATTATGTTGATTTGACGACATTTTGGACTTTGCTACTATATTTCGACTGAATTGTTGTGTATTTGCGTTTTTTTATTTTATTGCATGCATGCCTTGAAAAATGGAAGAATTGCTCAAAAATGTAACGAGATTTGTAAAAAAAAATTCATGTGCGGGCGTTTGATAAAACCAGTGACCAGAAGAGCTCCTTTAACAGCACGCTCATTACCATCATGTGAAAGAGATTTATATAAGTTTAGAAATCAACTTAACGCTATCAGAAAACAGAAAGATCCACCGACTTCTGATGCAATCTATGAACTTAAAGTAGAAAAACAGAGATTAATTGAAGAGAGAGATCTTCTGAAAGTTAAGATAACAAGATATGCTGAAAAATCTAAAACAAAGCCTGCGCCTGTCCGAAATGCTCAAATCAAGAAATCACTTGAAAGACAGATTAAATCACTTGAAGACATAGTTCAAGGAAAGAAAGAAGAGTTGCATGCTATTCTTACTTCAGATAAAGCTGCTCAAATTACAGAATATCAAGAAGAACTCAAAATATTGTATTTAGAAGTCCAAAGACTTAAGAATAGTAAGAAAGAAGCTGAAATTGACCTCAAAGATGCTGATGATAAAGTACAAGCAATTAATTCGCAATTTTCTGACGAAGTTTTGCTAAAGAGAAGACGTGTCATCAGAGCATTGGAAAAAGAAATACTCAAACACAATAATAGAAACGAACGTTTGCGAAATGACCTCGAAATTCTGAATCAACAGCACCAGGAACGCGAAGAATCATCAGAAAATAATAAACTTAAGGAGCAGATCCTCGAATTACGCAAGCAAATTAAACAAGAGAAAGAAGCAATTGAAAATCTTCAAAAAGGAAATTAATTTTTCTTTTTGTCTCAAACTGTATTTGTTATTTATATAAAAGCGTTGTTATTAGAATAAACTATATATATATCCCTTTCTCTATATTCAAAGAATCAATTGATTTAGAATGATTGGCAAAAAAAAATCTTGAATACGAGTATCTTGATGAAGATTGTTTTGTCATCGGCTTTTCCACATGTGTAATATGGTGTTTTTCTTCTAATGAATTTAAAGAGTATTATATATGGTAAAACGCAAATATGTCTTATATAAAAATTATTAATGTATGACCATGACGATCATCCAAACATATACAACAAATTGCGAAGTATTTTCAAATACTATATCGATTCATATAATGCATTGTTTCAGCTTTCTCTTCCAATTTTCGATACAACGATATTAGAAGAAAGAACTCAATTCTTCTTCAGATGTTTCGAAGAACAATGTGCTTCATTCAAGGTAGATACTCATTTCGCAGCACAGCCAGATCAAGGAGAAATCACAGGCCAATGGTATTTCATCTCCGCAAATGTTGCAAAGACAGAAAACACAATGACAAGTGATAACCAAGCAATGGCAACTCGAACAAATGTTTCTATTCCTTCAGCTACAAGAACAATTGCTCAAATGACAACAGCAAGTAACACAGCGACTGAATCTAGTCCAAGAAAGAAAGGCGGTCAATCATTCAGAGGAAATGTTTTCTTCTTCATGGGAATTGTCGTTGACGCAAGTATTAAAACAAAGGAAGCTTAGTTCCATTCATTTTAGCCGGCCAACTAAAAAAATTGAGGACTATTTGCGATGAATTGTCAGGAATCGGATTAGAAATGGATGAAGCGAAACGTGGTGAACAAAGTGATAAGGGCGAACAATAAAAAGATGCCGATAAAGACAAGAAGAATAAAAAGAACCAGAAAATGAAGATATAGAAACAAGCAGTACTACATCGAAGGAGAATGTCAATATCCACTTGAAGGATGCAGAAAACAAGTGGATGATGACAATACATAAAGTACAAGCAGCACTTTCAAAGAGCTCAAGAATCATCTCTTCTATTTCATCGCAAGGAGGAACAAGATGGCCTTCAGAGATGCATCCGAGTAATCTAGACATGGCAGTAAGCTCTTCTTTGTCATGGATGTTCAATTCTCAGTTCGGAATCTACGAGAAATTTCAGCCGATAACGGATTGGCTATGCTCTGAAATATCTTCTGCAAAGAGTCAACCTTCTGCAAAACAATAAATATTTCAGAAAATTATTTTTCTTTTATCTGTACTGAATAGCGCGCCGTTACTAACGTTATGGTGGAATATTCGAACCCAATATGTATTATTGTAGGTTGCAATTTTGTATCACCTATAACTCTTTAAATATTGGAAGTTTTCCTCCAGAATTGTTCGAAAAAGGTGACACTACAATAAGAGTGCATTGTCACTTTTCAAGAATTGCATTTCAATTTTAAAATTTGATTTTTAATTGTCATCATAATCCATTACAATTGCTTTTAATAAACATCATTCACATGTTTTCACCCTTCTAATGTAGGTTGACATTTTCCTTAGATATTCATCATTTTATTCTTCTTGTCTTTATCGGCATCACATTGTTCACCACATTTTGCATCATCCGTTTCTAACCTCTCAAATCGATTTGAATAAGATGTCAAATACTTAAGTATAAAAATCAAAAGATTTATAAAGAACAAATAAACAAAAATCGCGAATGAATTATAAAGAAATAAAGTGCAAAAAAAAGTTTTCGCAAATAATTACAAATTTTGCACAATCTAAAATCTAAAAATCAAGTTAACGATAGAGAGAAAGATTCTGAATCACATTCAATTATTGTTTCACTGACATCTTCTGCTGCAACTTTTTCTGTAACTCTATGAATGAAGTTATAAAGTGTTTCATGCTCTCTGTGTTGATTTTCGAGAACGCATTTCTTCAGCTGCAATCTTTGCAGATTTTTCTGATTTCATTGCTTCTTCGAGCTTCTCTTGCAATCTATCAATTTCATATCTCAAATGACGATTTATTTCTTCTGTTGCTGTCAGTCATTCTGTCTTCCTTGCAAGTAATGCTTCGAATCTCTTAATCTGGTCTATAGCTTCTATTGTTTGTCTGTCGTTCTCGTGATATTTTGCAGTAATTTCTGTCAACTTCTTTGATGTTTCGTATAATTGAGTTTCAGCCTCTCGTCTATGTGCTTTCTCAGAATCGATATCTCCCATAACTTTGAGGATATTTGTCCTCTGCTCTTCATTGACTTGATTTGCCAATTTGAGCTCGTTCTCAAGTCTTTGTCTGTCGAGATTTTCTTCTTTGATTTTTGACATTTCATTTTGCATTTCTTTTATGTTTCCTTTGTGTTCAGCAATCTCTTCTTTCAATCTTGCGATCTCAGCCATCAGACCTTTGATTCTTTCATGGAGTGTTACGTTTTCTTTCGATTGTTCTTCAATTTTCTCCCTTCAAATTACTGATTTTCATAACTTTTGCATTCATAAACGCAGAACTTCCTCCAATTTGCTTTTGAAGTGCTTCAATCGTTTCTTAGTGTTCATCTATTGTTTTCTTCATTGTCCATTGATCCTTTCTGGCTATCTCTACATCTGCTTTGCATTTATATTTTAGCTCTTCTAAATCAGCAGATTTCTTATTGATGGAAAGGATTGATGTTTCAAGTGAGTCCTTTGCTGCTTTGATTTCTTCTTGAGTACTTTTGTTCATATATAAGAATCCGGATGTTACAGTATCAACCAAAGCATTTTGGCGAAAATTTGAAGGAACCCCTTGAATAATCATATTCATTGCGTAAACTGCATCGGCAACAGTTGTCCTTGTTTCTGAATGTGTAAGAATATGAACTAATAAATCTGTGAATTGCATTTCTGCAACTAATCTTGCTACTTTTTTGTTCCATTGAGGAATTATTTCAAAACATGAAGTAAGGAACAAAAAGAAATTTGCAGAAGCAAATGTATGACTACGTTCTATTTGCGTTGGAATGCAACAAATATTTGATCCTCATATGTTAATAATAATTTCTTGATATATTCTAATTGCTTTTTTTGCCTCATCATCATTCTTAACATTATCAATAAAGACTCAAGACGTAGAAGAGAGGCAGAAACATTAGAAGAAGCAACAACAGATAATGCAAAAGCAAAAATTTCATCAACAGGACCAAATGAGAAAGAATCATTCATTAAAAACATTTCACAAAGGAAGTTGTAGCCTGCTGCTGTTACAAAATCATGAGCTGAATGAACAAAATAATTGAAAACTGGAACTAAGAGTTTTTCTTTAACTAAAAATTTGGGAATGTCAAAACTCATTGCAAGTAACTCATTTAATAGCACTGTAATTGATAAAGCACCCATACCACAGTTATTAAATAATGCATTTACAATTTTCTTGGTTGCACTTGCAGATATCGAAGCTTTGTTAGCTAAATCTCTGACAGACCATGTTGCAAGAGTTAATGCCAAAAAAAACGTTACAAATTTTAATGAGTCAGGGAATTGTTCTGAACTACGAATATATTGGCTCACATATCAAAGATTACATTGATGCGGATGATCTCTCTAGCACATTCGAAGTAGAAGATATCAAATCAATCATGAAATTCGCGAATTTAACACCTGATGACTTCAATTCTCTTCTTGCGCAATCTCGTTCTGTCATTTCAGCACGTGAATTGTATACTTGCACTCGAAATGCAAATATTTCAATAAACAACCTACAAGATACCATTTCAACACTTAAATCAGTTCAAAAGTACATGAAGATGCGAATATTCGAAGGGATTGTTGGTGTTTTAGAACAATTACAAAAGGATCAATCCACTACAACAAATAAAATCGAAAAACTTCAAGCAGATTTAAATCAGATCCAAAAAGAAAAAGAAAACGTTGAGAAAGAGATGCAAACTCTTCACTCTCAACTCAAAGAGAAAGAAGGAAACGATTTACCAAAAGAATTTCTTTCGAAAATTTCCGAACTTAAAAATTCTGAAAATTTCGATCAAATCTACAAATTCTTTGAAGAAATTTCAGAAAAAGGAAATCAAAAAATGATGCAAAAAGCATGTGAAGAAGAACTTTGGAAAAAACAAAATGATGACTTTTGTGGTACAAATGTACTTCATTATGCATCTTTAGAAGGAAATCTTAGACTTGTTAAAACTCTCATTGAATATGGCTGTGACAAAGAAATCGAGAGCGAAAATGGTTTTACAGCTCTACACTTGGCATCATTTGATAAACTTGAAGTTGTTAAATATCTTATCTCAGTTGGATCTAATAAAGAAGCAAAGGATAAAAATGGGCGTACTCCACTCATTTATGCATCAATAAATGGTCATCTTGAAGTTGTTCAATACCTTATCTCAGTTGGAGCTTATAAAGAAGCAAAGGATAATTTTGAATCTACTTCACTCATTTCTGCGTCAGAAAAAGGTTATCTTGAAGTTATTCAATATCTTATCTCAGTTGGAGCTAATAAAGAAGCAAAGGATAATGATGGATATACTCCACTCATTCAGGCATCAATAAATGGTCAACTTGAAGTTGTTAAATATCTTATCTCAGTTGGAGCTTATAAAGAAGCAAAGGATAATTTTGAATCTACTTCACTCATTTCTGCGTCAGAAAAAGGTTATCTTGAAGTTATTCAATATCTTATCTCAGTTGGAGCTTATAAAGAAGCAAAGGATAATTTTGAATCTACTTCACTCATTTCTGCGTCAGAAAAAGGTTATCTTGAAGTTATTCAATATCTTATCTCAGTTGGAGCTAATAAAGAAGCAAAGGATAATGACGGATATACTCCACTCATTTGTGCATCACAAAATGGTAAACTTGAAGTTGTTCAATACCTTATCTCAGTTGGAGCTAATAAAGAAGCAAAGGATAATGATGGATATACTCCACTCATTTGTGCATCACAAAATGGTAAACTTGAAGTTGTTCAATACCTTATCTCAGTTGGAGCTAATAAAGAAGCAAAGGATAATGATGGATATACAGCACACAAAATTGAATTGTTCGAGAAGGAAGCAAAGTAATGAGAATATTTATTATCAAATGCAAGAAAATAATTTCTTGATATATTTGGTTATTATCTCTTAACCATTGTTGCAAAAGATAAAGTTAATAAACTACGAGACAAAACTAAAAAAATGTCTCAGATTTTCATTTTTAGGAAGAAACGAAGAGATCATGAGTGATTGTTTGAAATATCAAAAGCCAAACAAAACATGCATGACTTATGCAATTATTTCACACAACATTGATTTTATTACATTCTTGATGAATGAATACAATATAAAGATTAATTTAGAATTCAGTGGAATGTTCAATAATCTTGAATCCTTTTTAGTTTATTTCGATCAAACTGATGATTTTAACAAATGCTTTGTTTTTTCACCGATTTTTAATATTCCATCCCTTTGCGAATATTTCCTTTCACATGGTGTGGAGATCAATGCAAAAGATAAATATGGAAAAACCGTACTTTATATGGCAGCATGTTAAAATAGTAAAGAAACCGCTGAAGTTCTTATTTCGCATAGTGCGAATATCAATGTAAAAACTAAGGATGGAGAAACTTCAATTCATATTGCAGCATAGAATAATTGTAAAGAAGCCGCTGAAGTTCTTATTTCACATGGTGCAAATACCAATAGTAAAAATCAGCATGAAAAAAACCGCATTTAATATTGCAGCAATGGTTAATTGTAAAGAAACGTCTGAAGTTCATATTTCAAATGGAATAAATATCAATTAAAAAGATGGAGATGGAAAAACCGCACTTCATATTGCAGTATGGAAGAATTATAAAAAAAGCTTCTGAAGTTCTTATTTCACATTGTGCGAAATATTAATGTTCTTGCATAAGATATACTTTAGTTTTCTGGTATTTTTGAATAAAATAATAGATGTGATGAGTTATATATTATTCATCCTCGTGAAATTGCACATGAATTCACTGTATACAGTCTTCCAAAAATGCACGACATATTTAGGAAGAGATTCAATCTGGATAGTATTACTCCAACGAAATACAATATATCTAACAAAAAACCGACCGTAAGTCGGCATTTTACAAATTTTGTTGAGATTCAGACAGCATTAAACGCAAAATATAAACCTATTCAATGGAATACCATTGAAATATGCAATTTTCTTGAAGGAAAAGGAAAGCAAATTGCTGAAACATTATTTTTGATTGCTAGAAGAGGATCAAACATTTATCATGCTCTATATATGAGAGAAAGGTCTTTCTTTGTAGAATTTTTTGCTAATCTTGTCCAAATATAAATTAATTAAATAATAAACAAGATTTTAAATTTATTACAAAGTGTAAGCTCATATTTCTGTTTTTATTTGAGCCAAGCAAGTTCACACCAAATAAAAACATAAAATTAACTAAATCTTTCCTAAAATGGGATTAGTTTGTATTATATTGGTATACATGTTGATCTTATAAGGAAAAATAGCAAAGTAAGATTATGTCAATATGTCAGCATGTGAATGAGTTCATAACGCATACGGAAACTTCATATTGTATAATTCAATATTAAATCTTCAATGAGATAATAAACACATAACAAATTTTTATAAGCTTTCATGTGGAATCGTTGCTCGGAAACATAATTCTTTCTTTCTAACACACATTTTGAAGACAAAAATGTCACTGCCAAAATTTTTAAAAAGCATGACAGGGGAGGTTTTTTGTGATATGGAAAAATGTTAGTTGCTCAATTATCTCACTATTGGATGGACTTTTATCGAGCGAAATTTTGGCTGTAAAGACAATTCTGATATTGGTAACATGGTGATAAGAACAAATAGTCAGTTTGCGTGGTTTATGATGAGATAATTTCGATTTAAAAAAAAACATAAAAATTGATTTTAATGAGCGATTATATTTGAATATGCTCTCCTAATTTGAAGGAACTGGTTAAATCATGAATTGATCATGAATAATTTTTTTTCAAAATAACAATTATAATTTCATATTCATTATAAGTTGAAAATATATCATAAAGACTTTATGAATGATAAATTCGTAAAAAACAAGTTAGTTTGTTTCTGAAAATAATAATAAAAAAAACCAATTTAGACCCAATAATTTTTGGCGGGATAATTGAGATGTTTAACAAAAAGTGAAAGGTGTCATTATTATCTATGACCAACAAGCAACTGACCTAGTCTGGATTACAATATTCGGTTCATCAAACCGCCAATTTGATGAATCAAGCCAAATTGTAACTGACCTAGTCTGGATTACAATATTCGGTTCATCAAACCGCCAATTTGATGAATCAAGCCAAATTGTAACAAACCAGTTGTTGATTGCATGGTATTATTCATCGAACTGCCAATTTGATGAATTACATTTCTTAGTCATCAAAATAGTGGTCATGTTGTAAACGAAAACGATAAAAACGGCTTGACAGTAAAGTGACACTTTACATGGCAAAAAATAGAGCCTTACTTTTGAGATACTTGAGATTGAAACTGAATCTTATGAGGCGGTGATCTTGAATCACTACCTCATAAGGTTCAGTTTCATATAAAATTTGTTGCAATTTGTTATTCTTTTGCAATTATTTCTTATAAGATTTTACATCTTTTAGCGGGGAATGTTTGTTATCATGTATATATTATAAATATCTACACGATAACGAACATTCCTCGCTAAATTGCTGAGAAACTTTGAGGAAATGTCGAACAATTTCCTCAAAGTTTCTCAGATTTATATAGATCACTAGAGTCCCCTAGGCACTGATTCTGGTTCAGTACCTAGGAGGCTCTAGTTCTCTAACGAACTGATAAAATGTTTTTAAATTTTTGGATATTGCTACCTGTGAAGCACTGACTTCAAGTCAGTACCTCACAGGTAGCAATTACATTGAAAGATGGGAGAAAATTTGTCCGAATGTTAAACTATTCGGACAAAGTTTCTCCATTTGTAGTGGAGATGGAAGGCTTTGAGGTATATTATATTAATATATACCCCAAAGCCTTCCATCTCCACTTGAAAGTTCCAAAACTTTGGGTTAATAGTTTGCAATTAACCCAAAGTTTTGGAACTTTCTAGAAGGAATTGCAGGGTAAGAGGTACATATTCATACTATGTACCTCTTACCCTCCAATTCCTTCTTAAAATGGGAGAAACTTTGTCCGAATGTTAAACTATTCGGACAAAGTTTCTCTCATTTGTAGTGGAGATGGAAGGCTTTGAGGTATATTATATTAATATATACCCCAAAGCCTTCCATCTCCACTTGAAAGTTCCAAAACTTTGGGTTAATAGTTTGCAATTAACCCAAAGTTTTGGAACTTTCTAGAAGGAATTGCAGGGTAAGAGGTACATATTCATACTATGTACCTCTTACCCTCCAATTCCTTCCTTAACATAAACAAATTTGGAGTTAATTGTTTGCAATTAACTCCGGGTTTGTTGACCTCCAAATGAAAATGAAAGGGTAAGAGGTATATAGTGACCCTATATGCCTCTTACCCTTTCATTCTCATTAATTATGGGAGAAACTTTGGCCGAATGTTAAATTATTCGACCAAAGTTTCTCCCATTTTTTGAAGGGATTGGAGGCTATGAGATACTGATGCAATGTCAGTACCTCATGGCCTCCAATTCCATCCTGAAACTGATCAAATTGGACCTTACATGCATTTGAAATTTGCCATGTAAAGTCCACTTTTTGAGAGAGAGGATTTGACTGCGTCAAATTCTCTTTTTCGTTTACGAGAGTCATGTTACTATTCGTTAGGTTAAATTACTTTTAATGCCCATTCAAGGAAGTACATGTCAGTTACAGGGTTTATAGTTTTACTCGAATTGAGTAAACCTCTTGGAAGCAATTACCACAAGAGCCAAGACTTCTCGTTTACAGACTTTGAAAGCCAGGAAGGAGCCAGGTAACAATAATGGGCTCTCTTATGATATTTTGGGATATTTATCAACAATTTGAGTTTCTACCTATTGTCTTCAATGAGGATTTTTTAGGCCAGAAGTACAATACCTGTACAGTCTAACTACTAGGGCAATGTAGTCAAACTGTGCACGTATTGAACTTCTAAGGCTATTATTTATCTGCTATTGACATCATTCTTTTACATTACCGTCCTCTGGTCCTTAGAGGACCATAGATTCTGAAATTACTTGTGCAGAGCAAAGTTCTTCCGAGATCTCTCTATCCTTCGTAGATCTCGGAAAAACTTTGCCTTAAACTACTGCATTAATGTTTCCTAGTATTCAAAGAGCTATGAATTCTATAGTTGATCTTATAAGGTAGAGTTTTTCCTAACTTTCTCATTCGTTGAAAGGTTTTCAACAAAGCTATACCTTAAAAATCTGTGCTTGTTATATCTGATCATTTGTGTGTTAGGGGAGGTAAATTTATTCCACTAGAGCAAATTTTTTCCGAGGTTTCTCATCGAATGAGAAACCTCGGAACAACTCTTCAATAGTGTAATGAATTTGTGGTATTTGTCCTGCAAACAGCGAGAGAACTTGTCTGTAATTCGTTTATGATGAAGTTATCTGGATGTCTCTCAGATGAGGAAGGAAGTCCAGAAAACTTCACCATAAGTTAATACTTGTGTATTTCTATGACTCTCTTCACGTCAGAGAATGTAAATTTACTCGAATAGGGCAAAGTTCTGCTCAAGTTTCTCATTTGATGAGAAACCTCGGAAGAACTTTGCCCTAAGGTAATGTATATGTGATTGTTGGCCCGCAGAGAAACAAGGAATCTGTTTGTATTTCGTTTATGGTGAAGTTCTCGGATGTTCTCTCAAATTATATGGAAAATCAAGATAACTTCACCATAATTTGTTGTAGTTGTGATTCTCTGGCTCTTTGCCGGCCAGAAAACTAGAAAATAGTTTATAGTGGGAGTATGCTCGATGAATACCTACTCACTAAAAATATACGTTATTTTTTGTTTTCCTATGGGAAAATAGTTTTGATTTTTATACTATCGTATGCTTTGTTATTGCATGAATTGTCTATTTTCTTAATAAAAACTCATTTTTCCGTGTGATTCTGAATCAATGCATTCCAAAAAAGCGTTTTCCGCCTTTGAAACGTGAAAACACACATTGCATGAAGAATCAGAGAAGATTTTCTAACTCGAAGAATTCCAAAAAAAACCAATTATAGTTTTTTTATCGTGAAAAATTTACTTTTTAACTACGAAATTTTTAAAACGCGATTTTTTTGGAGATTTTTAGAAAATTCAAATATGATAGGCATGTGTTATTTTATGTGCTCTATGAGTTTATCAGCTTAATTTGGAGTTATTATCAAATTTCAATAAGTCTAAAAAATTGAAAGATAGAAAATCTTCTCTGATTCTTCATGCAATGTGTGTTTTCACGTTTCAAAGGCGGAAAACGCTTTTTTGGAATGCATTGATTCAGAATCACACGGAAAAATGAGTTTTTATTAAGAAAATAGACAATTCATGCAATAACAAAGCATACGATAGTATAAAAATCAAAAC